AATTTTTTAAAAACAATAAAAAACTTAATAGAGGGAATCTATGTTTATAAACTATCCAGCACAGGACAGGCCTCTCCCAGTACCGAAAGTATGAACGAATGAATGGGTGTGATTGTTAACGAATGTGTTGGTACACACACTTTATGACTCTCGTAAAATATTGGCTGGGCCATAAGTCACAACAGCCTGTGGGAACAGTCAGCTTCAAAACCTGTGACCTAACACAGGAGAACACGGCTATTCAGGGACACAGACTGCCCCTTCCTGAGACCACACCGCCGTCTATGGCCTTTAAGGGTGACTCCAAAGGCCACCCACAAAGTGACAGCTGGGAACGGTCACATTCGGGTGCCAAATGCAGCGCCTTCCCTACAGCCCACGGCACCAACAAAGTACTAAGCAGTAACTAACGTTGAGGATGATGAGCCTGAATTAAAGAAAGCCCCTAAGTCACTGAAGAAATAAGTCAAGAATCTGGGCACTCACGAAGATCACTGATCAACCAACCTACATTTTAAATACATTCTCAGCGCTAACATCTCCAACCCTTTCATCTGGAGACGACGACGCTCGATGCAAGTGCTCATCTGTGCCGTCCTGTGCACGGGGCTCGCCTCACGTGAGCGCGGCTGACGGGGGACTGAGGGCACATGCGGTGGGCCTGTTACATAAGAGAACGCTTTCAGCAGACACATCACTTCTGAAACCACAGAAGCCAAACCACAGTGGAAAATTCAGCTGTTCTGGAAAGAAACACCAAGATAATTTTCTGCAAAGTTTCCTACGCTGGTATGCATTCTTCTACGGTGGCCTATTTTTCTAGTGCTTCTTAAAATCCACATGATGAAGCAGCACTGAGCCTCTATGAAAAAGTGTACATACAACCCTCACGTCGCCATGGCTAAGGCTGGGGACGTGGCATCCGACACGTGCTTGTGGAAAGGCAGCAGGAGTCCTGGCAGTGTGATCTCGGGAAGGAGTCGGCCTCTGGCTCTGCGTTCCAGCGCACGGAGGGGACTACGTGCGAGATTTCAGGGGTCTCCCAAGACAGAAGATTCTAAGCCTTTTCTTCAATACGTGTGTAAACCTCCAAGAATTCTGAAGGCCTTCACCTGCTCAGCTGTTGAAGACCATCTAGGCTGGGGACAGACGCCATCTAACACAGCGGCTGCTTCCACATACAGCCCTCGGGCCCCAGCGTCCCCAGAACCGGGCTGGCCCAAGCCTGCCGGACGGACTCCGCGTCCTGAGGCAGGTCCCTGGGAGCCGGCTGCGCGGGGTTGGGTGACCTCGGAGGCTGGCACTGGCAGGTCCCTCTCTCAGGGCCCCCGCAACCGTGGCTCCTGCCACTGCCCAATGCTGCTCCCCGCTGCCCTCCCACCCACCTTCTCTTCTGCACTCACGCCCGGGCCCATCTCCCCTCCTCCCCGCTCCGTCCTTACTTGCCCACGATGGATCAACTGAACATTTAGTTTTGTCCTTGTAAAGTCGGTCAGTAAACACCATTCCCAAGTTTCCAGAGCCCTCTGTAGGGAGAAACACGGAAGGTTCCCTGCTGTTTCTGAGGACGCGCACTGCCAAGCATTTTCACAGCCCCTGGTGGTGGGACAGCTGTGGGCTGCCCTGCTTCCCCAGGACTTTGGACACGTGAAATAGATAAATGACGCGATTTGACTTGCTGCCATTTCTGGGCACGCTGTGTAGACAAGGTTATTTAAATACCGAAACACAAATGGAAAAACAGTACGTAGTTTCAGGCAGTGTTTCGGTGGGTGGCGCTCTAGTCACACAACGTAGGAACCGCACTAACTGTGGGCACAACTGCACGTGTCCCCTCGGGGAGGCTCGGCCATGCGCCTTGGGCCTCGGGGTTGACCCCTCTGCAGCTCCACCAGTTTCCCTCGTCAGGCGGTTGGTCCTCGCAGGCAGCATGCCGATCACCGCCCGGCCCAGACTGGCAGCTCTCCCTGCACGAAAGTTCTGGAAGTCCTTGCAGGCCAGGGCTGGAGGCACTTGGGCAGTGGCTTCCCCCGACACAGCAGAGGAGAGTCCTCAGTTGTGAGTCTCACAACGCGATTCTCTGCTCTAGAAGAACGAATGGGGCTCCAGCTGCCCAAGACGTCCTGAGGGCCCGCACCCACGGCGGACAGGAGGCGGGGTCCAGGGAAGGGGACGCGCCAGGAGCTGGAGGCCCAGCTGGGCCCAGGACGCTGTCACTCTGTGACCCAGGAGTCCTTCCTTCAAATGGGACCATTTCTACTTTCCCAAGAGCATTCATTTGTTCATTATGTTGCTATGATTTCACCTAAAACACTATTTTCATGGGCCAAACTTGGCCAGTTACTTTTCCTAAGGCTCACTTCAACACCTATTTGACTTAGGACTTAAAGCTCAGAGTATTCTGGTCACTTTCTAGGAAATACCTACATTTCACTCAGTAATTGTTTGGTTTCAAGGTAATGCATGGGTCCATGAAGCCATTCAGATGTTTGTTTGCTACGATTTATCTTGATTATAGAACAGACCCCTTTTCTCCACTGATGCAGAGTACAACCACAGAAAACCGAGTACACTTGAGCTTCAGTTTTCAGAAGAATCACATCTCAGAGCTTCGCCAGTACGTCAGCAGGCCAGCACTGTCTGGTCCTACGGGCATAAGTGCTGACATGTGGAAACAATGGAGGCCAACCTCCAGAAGCCTCTTCGTCTCCTGGCTTGCCACTTCACCTGTGCTCCCTGCAGTGCGACGGCGGCACATTCACGATCGACCCCGGACTCATCAGCCCGGACGTAGGCCCTACAGTTTCCTGAAACACACGGACAGCTGTGAGAGCTTGTTGCCTGCAGTTCACGGACATCCCACCGGAGCCCCCCGGTTTGTGTGAATCGCAGGCAGCGGCACCACCGAGGACCACTTCAACCGAGTGCAGGGTGAACCTGGGGGCACTCGGAGTCACGTCAGAACCCACCGCAGCTAGGGCTGCCCGTGGAACAGGTGACCTGGCAGAAGAAAGGGATGTCCCCCGGGGGCTCGCTGTTGGCAGAGAAAGGGGGGCTTTGTTCTCTGCAGAGTAAAGTGGGGGCTCACGAATACCCTCGAGAAAAAGCTCAGACCATCCCCCACCCTGGGAGAGGCACAGTCCCCTCGTATCGGGTCTTCCTGCCTCCCTTCCCTCACTTTAAAGTCTCAAGTTCTTTAAAAGACCTAAAATTATATTAAGGTAATAATTATGATGGATCACTCTTGTGCCGTTAACATACAACAAGCTGCAAGTACGACAACAGCACAACAAGAGCAGAGGGAAGGCAGCCTCGGGGAGAGGACTGTCCCCAGGCTGGGGAGACGACGCGGTGCAGACCTGCGAGAAGGACGCGGTAACCCCGGGGCCGACCACTCAGAAGCTGCCTTAAACGTACACTGAGGACACTCAGGACGACCACTAAGAGAACAGAACCCGAGAGTTCTCACGAGGAGTTTTTCTTTTCTTTGTACTGTACCCGCGTGAGAAGGCGGATGTCAGCTGAACCTGGCGTGGGACCGTTTCACGGGACACACACGTCAAACCGTCACGCCACACGCTGTGAGCTTACACAGCGATGTATGTCCGTCATCCTCAGCAAAGCTGGAGAAATATATAGTGAAAAATAATTTAAGGAATCAAAACGTTACACTAGAAAATATTCACTTATTGCAAAAGAAAGCAGTAAAGGAAGAGAGACAGAAAAGACACGGGATGTTTACTCAACAAATACTAAAACTGCCGACATAAACCCAAAGTATATTAATAACACGAAATGTGAATTGATCAAACAATCCAGTCAAAATGCAGAGGTTACGGACTGCATTTTTTTAAAATTCCAACTCCACGCGCTTTCCAGGAGATGAACTTTAGATTCAGAGACAGAGATGTCACACAAACTGCACAGAGCAGGAGCGGCCACACCATGTCAGGGCAAACAGCTTTAAAACAAAACGAAACTGCTCGAGAGGGACATTTTCTGAAGACACAGCAACTACACACATGCACCCAACAGCAGAGCTCCAGAAACACCAAAAGCGAAAAATGACACAACGGAAGGAAAAAACTGGTAATTCAGCAAAAGCTGGCAATTCCAACGGCCCTGCTCTCAATAACGAATAGAAGATCACGGAGGAAACGGAGCACGGAGAGCCCTGCATAGCCTGACGCTCGCCCCGATGACGGCACGCAGATTCACAAGTGCACCAGAGTAACTCCCAATGCAAATCGAAACCACAGTGTGACAGCTCTTCACACCCATCAGAACGGCGATATTCAAACAGAGAGCTGGTAGTGAGTGTCCCACGAGCCGTCGTACCGTCTCACAGCCTTGATGGAACCGCAGGCCTAGTTGGCCTCCCTGGAAGGGCGGGGGCAGGAGTGCTGTCCCCAGGAGGTGACTGCCGGCCAGAAACGTCTCCCAGACACCCCGACACCTAACGAGTGTGCTCCCATCCCCGCGGGCCCTCTGGGGGCCACCCCACGGGCCACATGCCATCCTAGGCCCAGGGACACCTCTGCACCTGCCCAGGACGGCTCGCACAGCCAACGGCCCGTCAGCTACAAAGGGAGTAAAATACCCCAGTGTACAGGACAGAGGCGGACTGGGAGGGACACCCAGTGTCCCCTCGGGCTGCATCGTCTCTCAGAACAGGAGGGACACATGCTGGCCGGGATTCTCGGGAACGGGCGGTGTAGACGAGGAGCCAGTGTGCGGCGGGGACGGCGTCGGTGTGCTGACGAGGGCCGGCCGGCACTGCGGCTCCCAGGAGGCCCTGGTCCACTTCCTGGCCTCCTTCCCTTGGGGCTTATGGCTCCATGTCACCGAGGGGTTATAATCAGACTGTCACGTGTATGTCGCTCTCACCGTGTCACTTTCCTTACCTGTGAGGGCTCAGCAGATATTCCTGCACCAGGGAGGCTGACAGAAATGAACAACGGGCACCGTATGAACCACGGAGTCTCACGGAGATCAATCAAGTAGGTCTAGGTGACTCTTTATTAATAAAGGTGACTTTTAATAAAAAACATAATTTAATTCAAATAAAAAAGTACAGACTGTAACACAATCACAGTGTCACTCACATTCACAGGGACGTGTAGGCCTCCCTCTCGGCTGTTCAGTACGGAGACCTCGGTGACCAGCGGACAGCAGCTCGGCAGGTGTGGGGCCGGGGCCAGGGGCGCCGCCCCCCACCCAGCCCCGGCCCTGTGTGCAGAGGCCCGCGGGGCACCGATACGTGGATAAAGGCTGTCAGTCTGGACGTGTTGTTAGGCGGTGACCGCTGTCCCAGCCCGACCTGGATTAATGCCATCAGCCTACACGGCTGAACTAAAAGCCCTGCTTAACGGCTTCAGACGCATCCTGCTATTCCGCATGCTTGCAGATATCTTCACAAACAATAACTAACTATAAAGAAGACAGCCTGTGACTGAAGCTCCTCGTCAAGACAGGGGCAGTGACAACCAGCGCTGTTGGTGACAACTCCGGGAGTTAAAAGAGCAACCTCTAGATGTCTTCAAAGTGAGCACAACTAGGCAGCACACACACAAGTGTTTTAACACAAGCTTCCTGGCCTAAGAACACTTCCAGGCGGAAGGGAATATACGATAAAGCGGACACATCAGATTTAACTTAAAGTAACAGGCTTCAGTGCTACGAACTTACCAGGTCATTCTGCCCACCATCTGGAGAACCAGCTAACATCAGACACACTCTGATTCTAGATGGCTAAAGCCACACACACACACACACACACACACACACACACACACACACAGCTGTGTGAACCTACAGCTTTATTCACACCTTGCAGGATGCTCTTAGTACTCATATTTTAACGGGTTCACTCCCTGTAAGGAATCTCAGTCATAGATAATCAACTTCCACAGAGAAATGTGTAGCAAACCAAATTGAGAATATTCTATCTTCCACATGTGGACTCAAGTAGGAAGCATTTTGTTTAGTATAATGCAAAGTCAATTTTTAAAAACATCTGCAGTCTTTTTGAAACACAAGGCACCAATAGGAAGCAGACATTCTAGCAAAGAGTGATTGTCTGGGGGGAAAAGAAAATGGAAGTGATCAGAGTCCTCTGTCCTCTGTTGATTAGAATACTTCCTTCTTTCACGTCATGCAACGTCTTCCAGATAATCCGCCACATCACTGAGCTGGGACACGGTCAGGTCCTGAGTCAGGTCATCAAGCTTTGTTGTTCCAAAGGAAAAAAAAAAGAGCTGGTGTCAGAATACAGTCATAAATACTCTTTAAAATGCACTGCCAAGAATTTAAATATTACCTTGTACTCTTTAAACCACTTCACACTCAAAGTCCTCTACTTTGAGTAGAGCACTTTACCTCTACCTCCCTTCTTCCTAGTAGTTTGAAGCCTGGGACAATTACCAAAGGCTGAGGCCACAGCGACAAGTGCACGCCCACAGCCCCCGGTCCCCACAGCCCCGCAGCCGCCCTGGGGACCGTCCGGCGGCTTCAGCCTCCTGCAGGGGCACCAGGTGCAACAAGGTGCTGAGCACCGTGCGCTGCCCTCACTCAGACTCCCCGACACCCCCGTGCGCACGCACCTCCGCTTCCCTCCCACGGAGACCAAAGCTGGCGTGGAACAGCACGTCCCCCGCCCCCCCGCCCCGAGTCTGCCCCTTTCAACGGGCTCCTGCGTGCGGCCATCCCCCGGAGGTCATGGGCACTCGGGGAACGCCCCTCCCGCGGACGGCAACGTTCACCTCCCGCTGGGGCACCTCTGGCCTGAGAGGCGCTCCCCTGACCCAGAGCCGCCTCCGTGGCGCCGCCGGGACGGTGGAGACGCCGCCTCTCATCTCCCATGGAGCACGTGCCTGCCCGGTATCCGCAGGACGGCCTCCCACGCCTCCCACGTGCACAGCCTGCCGCCCGCCTGCTGCCCCGGCCCCTCCGGGCTTCTGCACCAGCCCCGACCTGCCTGAGACGCAGCTGAACCTGCTCCTTCCCAGCGCTCTCGTGCCCGCGCCCGCGCCTCGCCTGACTTCTCGTGCCTCTACGTCTGCACCCCCGACGTGGTCAGTTCTGGCTCCACGTCTGCCCCACCGTGGCCCTCCTACCCTCACGGCAACCGAGGCCCCGCCACAGGGCACAGGAGCCCCGCAGCAGGCGGTGACCCTGCAGCAGGCGGCAAGAGCAACTACAGACTCCTGGAAGCCATTCTTTTTGACGTGGGCCAAGCAGCTGTCATGTCACAATTTTCCACTATTTTCCTCCTAATCTGTGTACATTCTTTTAAAGCTTTACAGCAAATTAAGGCAGCAGACACAGGCACAAAGAGCATTCTATGGGAGGCGCTAGCACCATACTTTATCGCTGGTGTTGATGTCATCGATCTCCACAGAAAGATCTTCTTCGATCTCTTCACCAATACTTAGCTCACTTTTTTCTGAGCGATGGCTGGTACTAGTTTGTGAGAAAGAAAAATCAAGAACACCAAATATAAACATTTAAATAAAGTATTAAGTACCAATAACTTCGTACCTATTATCTCACCTCATCCTTAATATAACTTATCGAGGGCAATAGAAATGGGAAGTCAATTTAAGAGAAGAGAAAACTAAGGTCCATGATGGTGACTATGGTCACAATATCAGGTAAAAGCACAAGCCCAGATTTTTAAAATTTCATCTGTGAATCATGCCACCTCTCAAAAAAACTGTATGACAAATCACTGTTAAAAAACAAAATATAAATTCCCAATTGGAGGGGAAGAAAACCCTGTCAATCACATAAAATTCTCCGACTCTAAAATTTTTGTCATATCCACAATTATTTCCAAACCATTAGGCAACTCACAGATTCTATTATCGTCATGCACATAAAAAGTCATCTGAACAAAATACTGTGCTCTGTCATCTGAATGAGACCACTAACTGCAGAGGGCAGTGTCTTAGGCATGTGTCCACACCCTCCACGGGCTGTGGGAGCACGTGGACCAGGGCCACCTGACGCCTCTGGGCGACTGGGTCTGTTCTTATCAAGTTTCCTGAACGTGACGAATTTGTTCACATTCTAATGCAAAACCAAACCATGCTCCAAAGTGCAGGGTATAATTCTGGATTAACTATCTTTGATTCATCTGCAATCAATGTGAACGAGAGTCCAATACACTAAAACAAGCACAAGTGGAATTCCATCACGTTTTCCTGTATCACAAATTGTTTACAATTTCTTTGTGGCCCAACTATTTTTCTCACCTGTTAAAATCATCAACATAATCATCTTCTTCTCCAGTCCCTGGAAGTTTCAGAAAAGATGGGTTACATTTACATCTGCACGCTTTACGCCATATCTACAATTACACACACTCTTCCTTCAGGAAAACTCCATTACTGAATTATACTGCATATTTAAAAATGAAGTCTCCAGGATTAGAAATGTTTTTACCATATAGAACCTGAAAACAAGGATAAAGTAAACTACTTAAGACGTAACAAAATGTCATTCGTAAGATGTGGTTAATACCCAGTCTTGTACTCCAAGTACCCGAAAGGTGAATCACATTGTATGTTTATTATCTGTAAAGTCATCTGATATTAAAATGGTATCAAACACAACGGGAGGCCTCAAAAGCAGGTTATCATGAGCTCCCTATTGTTGCCTCACAATCAGTGAGTTCGAGCCCCGCGTCGGGCTCTGTGCTGACAGCTGGGAGCCTGGAGCCTGCTGCGGATTCTGTGTCTCCCTCTCTCTCTGAGCCTCCCCCACTCACACTCTCTCTCAAAAATAAACAAACATTAAAATAATAAAATATAATAACATCTAGTTAGGGCTCTTGGTTAATGTACCAGGATTTTACGATCCGTGTGACCTCAGGCAACTTACTTAACCTGATTCTCGTCTGCAAAGATGAGGAGGATAATAAACCCAAGCTCACAGAGTAAGATTTAAATAAAACCACTTCTTGGTACAGTGCCAAGCGCATCGTCACTACCATCATTATTATCCTAGGCTGATCCACTAACATTCATACATTACTTTTTAAATGTTTTTTATTTATTCCTAAGAGAGAGAGAGAGCATGAGCAGGGGAGAGTCAGAGAGAGAGGGAGACACAGAATCGGAAGCAGGCTCCAGGCTCTGAGCTGTCAGCACAGAGCCCGACGCAGGGCTCGAACCCACGAACCGTGAGATCATGACCTGAGCCCAAGTTGGATGCTTAACCGACTGAACCACCCAGGCGCCCCCCATACATTACTTAGAACACAAATAATTCTATAAATTCACGATGAAAATAAAAACAAACAGAAAGCAATACGGTTGCAATACCATCAAACAAAACTAAACAGAAATGCTTATTTACACGGAACCCTAATATCTGGATGGGACGGAAGGAACCAAACCTCAGCTGGCCATCCCTCCGTCTTCCCCGGGGTAACACCCGCAAGCGCAGCACGATGACGGCATGGTCCCCAGTGGAAGGCGAGGCGAAGCAGCGGACCCCTGGTCCCCAGCTGGCACCTGCAGAGCGGCCGGGCCCCTTCCCTCACCAAGGAGAGCTCTCAGCGCCCCCTCCTCACAGGCAGGCTGGGGCTGCCCTGGCTTTGACAGAAAGCAGGGTCGTCACAGAGAAGCGGGACGGCTGGCGGTGCAGGTGGGACGGAAGGAGAAGCAGGCAGGGCTGGGGCAGGGCAGGAGCAGGGCAAGTGTAGGGGTGGAGCAGGTGTAGGGGCGGGTGTAGGTGTAGGGGCGGGTGTAGGGGCGGGTGTAGGGGTAGGGGCGGGTGTAGGTGCAGGGGCGGGTGTAGGGGCAGGTGTAGGGGCAGGGGCGGGTGTAGGGGCGGGTGTAGGTGTAGGGGCGGGTGTAGGTGTAGGCGTAGGTGTAGGTGTAGGGGCGGGTGTAGGTGTAGGGGCGGGTGTTGGTGTAGGGGCGGGTGTAGGGGCAGGTGTAGGGGCAGAGCAGGGGCAGGGCAGGGCAGGGCAGGGGCAGGGCAGGGGCAGGGAGGGCCGGGCAGCAGGCTGTGTGTGGGGCTGCAGGGCAGGGCCTGCCGGGAACCGGGACTGAGCCCCTCCCAGGGAAGGAGGGCGGACGGAGGCCGCAGCAGGCCCACCCGGCATCACAGCTGCAGGGTCACGGGGTCACAGGGTCACAGGCGGCAGCCAGGGGCGCGTCCAGGCTGCTGCTGCAGGGGAGCCGAGACACCGACAGAGGCAGCTGGCCCTCACGAGGCAGGGGACGTTCTCTCAGGTCCACATGCACCTTACAAGGAGGTGGGTGCCGCCAGCGCCAGCGGACAGGCCGGGACGGGACCCGCTCGCCTCCGCCTGGCTCACCACCGGGGCCCCGGCTGCCATCTCACCTGCGCCCACCTGCTCCCAAACTCAAGTCCTCTCCACTCGCTGGGATGTTCTCCACAGCAGGGAGGGCATGATGGCCGGGCCCTGGCGCCCACCCAGCGCTCAGACCCGGGGAAGCGCACGTCATGCAGGGAGGGAAGAGTGGCCAGACACAGAGCGCGGGCCGAACCATTTCTGCCAGTCCCTCCTGAGCGGGGTGAGCCCCATGGACGCCCACCCCCAGCGCCCAGAGAAGGGACTCAGCCTTTTCGGTCTGCGCTGAAACGTCTCTGCTTCGTGCTCACCCATCTGGTCTTGGCAGAGGAGTCACCTCCCAGGCGAGGCCCCCCGCCTGCCTGGTGAGGGCAGGCCCACCTCCCGCCGGTGAACACCCCGGTGACTGCCGGGCGCCAGGTCAGGAGGCACTCACTGGAGGCTAAGTTCTGCATTTCAGATTTTATTCTAAAACATAATGGTCTTCAGACCATCAAGACTAAAAACGGGAAACTGAGTTACCTAATCCAAGTGATCCAACTTTATCACTGACCAACTTCAGATCTTTCAAAACCGGGTTTCCTCTTTTACCTGTGGAGAAAAACAGCCACATGGGGCTGACTTAGAACACAGCAGTCTGTAAGCCATATCATTGTTTTTTCCACTATAGGATATTTATGCCTAAAACGTAATAACCAAAAACTAAGAATTACAAACTCTGATTGATGACTGCTCACATCACGCATCGCATCCCCTTTTTAACCACACGATGCTGTTCTTTACTGAAATCTGACCGTCCAAGCGATGGATTTCTGGCCTAACAATATCACCATCTATAAAAACTCTCACTGGGTATGAACTCATGCACTACAGTTAATTATTCTCATCAATTTTATTTTCTTCAATTTTGCTTTAATTCAACTGCTATTTCATTTACCAAATTGATTATGTTTTCAGTCCTAAGTGCTCGATGTCCTCCCCAAGTCATTATTCTCTACTCACTATTAAGAGTGACCTGAGCACGACCCGCTAAATTCTCACTGCGGGTGGGGCCACAGTCACAGACGTGTGGCTGGTCAGGGGACGGCTAAAGGCCACACATCATCCCCTTCACGAAGCCCGGGAGATCCCACAGCTGCATCACCTGATATAAACAGGTTAGTAAAACTGCAAAATTATGCAAAATCACACCATTTCCTAATAAAGACCTGCTTTTGAGAAAACGTTCTCCAAAAAAGGCACATTTATGGTCTAAAACACTGTCAATTAAATCTCAGTAAACCACCCTCACCTGCACATGTCTACACTTAAAGGCTACGCTTTTAAATCCTGTCTCGTCACCATCTGCGTGCGGGAAGGGGCAGGAGGGTGGACTGGGCAGGGACGTGGTTTCCACGTCTAGCAATCGCCTCTCTGGTACGTGGAAAAAGAGGTCAGAGGGGCGCCTGGGTGGCTATGTCGGTTAAGTGTCCGACTTCGGCTCAGGTCACGATCTCACAGTTCGGGAGTTTGAGCCCCACATCGGGCTCTGTGCTGACAGCTCAGAGCCTGGAACCTGCCTCAGATTCTGTGTCTCCCTCTCTCTCTGACCCTCCCCTGCTCACGCTGTCTCTCTCTCTCTCAGAAATAAAGAAAAACATTAAAAAAAAAAGAAGGAGATCAGATTCAGATTCCAAATAATGAAATCTTGCCATTTGCAATGATATGGGTGGAGCCAGAGTGTGAGGCTAAGTGAGGAAAGTCAGACGGGTGTGGAGTTGAAGAATCAAGAGGAACGAGCAAAAGGAGAGAAGGGTCAGACTCTGAACTGCAGAGCACACAATGATGGTCCCCGAGGCGGGGGCTGAAACGGGGCGTTAGAGTCAATGCATCATGGTGAAAAAATATATAAATTTAGAACATCACACGCACACAACGATGCCAACATCCAATGCAGACAAAAGCTACCCCAGCTCCAAATCCCTGGAGAGAGAATAGTGTAGCTTTCCTATGATGATTACTTCGGTATCACAGGATCTATAAAGCAAATTCCTAAAAATTAATTGAATCTAAATCCTACCTGAGTCCATCTAAATGCCCAACAAGGGGGAAAGGACTTAAAAAATGACACGGTTACTAGAGAAGGCAGCTACCAAGTCCGTTTCCTGACAGTGCTCTGACGGCGTGGGAAAGGCAGAACCCAACCCACGAGGCGAATGTGACCACAGTAAAGGAAACGTCTCGGGTGAAGTTACAGGCTGCAGTTTTCTGGAAAGTACACGATGATCACATAGACCTAAGCGGAGAACCCCCGGCACCCGTACTCGAGGTCGGCATCACTCACTTTCGGAGTCCTTCCTGGAGGGGGCGGCTGTCAGGGAGCTGCGTCCGCAGCTCAGGGGGGGCGCGTCGGAGAGCGAGGCAAGGCTGCCAGCGGGCTTGCTGGGCTCGTTTCTCCTGGCAACGAACAAGTGCGCGGTCACATCACGGCCGCCGCCGGGGGGTCAAGAACACGCCGCTCGTAGACCCGCACGTCCACATGGCCAGGGAGCGGGGAGGGGTCTACTCACCTCGCTCGGGCTGTCGGAGGTCTTACAAATCCAACTGCTCTCCATCCCTTTCGGGGTCTGTGATTTTTGTCAGAAGCGGGCGAGGGGCGGCACAGAGGCCACCTCCTCAGCAGTCCCCCCTCCCCAGCCCTGCCTGCGCCCACCCACCGAGGCAGGAACCTTCACAGGCTGCTACTGTCACCCCTGCCAAGCGCACTCGCTTGCTCCTCCAGGAAGACCAGCCTCTCCCCTGCACACCAGTCCCCTCCCTGCTAACACTGCTCTCAGCAGACGTGCGCATGGCGCACTCTGGTTTTCTCCCCGCCCCTCACACCCCTGTATAACACAACTCACCTGGAGAGCACTCCCCACCTACTAACCCACCCCCATCCTTTCCCGAACCTGCTCTGATCCACCCCTCACCCTGCAGCCCGCCCCCAGGATCCCCGTCACCCCTGCCTCTGCGCTGCTAAGAGCAATGGCTGACTTTCAGGATTCACTCCCTCCTCCTTCAAGGACACCTCTCTGCCTCCCCTGGGTCCCTTCCCTCTTCCTCCTCCTCCCCTCACTGACTTCCAGGGGCCACAGTGCTACTTCCCAGGTGACCTCCGCTGGCGGCAGGAGTAAAGCGGAGACCCCCCCCCCAACCTCACTGCGCCTCTAGCCCAGGCCTCTCCCCTAGTGCCCGTCAGACCCCCTCCCGGCTGCCTGCGGCCCGACCTCCGCAGCAGCCCCCTCCCACCCTGATGTGCCGGGGTGAGCTGTGGACAGTCACCGCCCGCCCGTGCGGCCTGGCCCTGCCTCCACTCCTCACCTGTCAGTGGGGTTTCCAACCTCGCAGCTGTTCGTGGACAACCCCGGACCCCCCCGCAAGGTCACTTGTCCAATGCTGACCAGCCAACCCGTTTGGGTCCAGCCTCTAAGTGCGGCCCCCAAACCACCCACTTCTCACCACTTCTGTCGTCACCTCTCACCCAGCTAATCCTGATCGCTTCCCAGGGGGACACCGAGCGGCCAGGTGGCCCCGTCACTCTCCGCTCCCTAAGGTCGAAGCCACACTCCTGCTATGATCGGCACGGGGCCCCCCAAATGCACGAGAGCACAAGCTTCTGGAGACAGGCACCCTGTCTGTGCCCAGGCTGCCCCACCCCCTCCCAGAAACGGTGCCTGGCCCATGACGGGCACTCGGTACGCGGCCACCGGCGAAAATGGGCAACATCCAGGTTTTCACCGTTCAGGACTGTTTAACAACACCGAAGGCCTTAATGACACAAAATCAGATCTACGTGCTCAATAATTACAGACGCATTAGTAGCTCTTTTTTAAAATATGAAATACTTGGAAATTATATTTTTAAGCCTCTAGCTGGATAATGCAAAAACACGGTTTACTCACCAACCATAAGTTTTTTCTGGTTTAGGAATGGGATCATCAAAGAAAGAGTCCCCTTCCATATCCTCTTCATCTGGACAAAGACCAGCTTTGTCTTTGACATCTAGACTTTTGTTACTTAGGAAAGAGCCAATTTTTGTTTCGTGGGTCAGCAAGTGGAGGCTGCTTTTGCTCTTTGGTTCTGAGGAAGAGACACTCGTGTCACTCTGACTGGCCTCATTGTTGGCCTTCTAGAAAACAGAATGGGAAAGAGAAGAGGTCTCCTTGGTGAAATAAAACATTAATAAACTATTTTACATAATAAAACATCACATCTGATGTGACCACCATGCACAAATATCTGTGTGTGTGTGTGTGTGTGTGTGTGTGCGAGGAGGGGATCTTACAGATGCATGAAGGGCTCATCCCCGCTCACGGCATGGCTAACTTCCAAAGGAGAGAACGTCAAAAGTAATGTGTTCATACCCTTCCTCTCCCGCCTAAATGGAAGTATCTCTGCTATCCCGTTTATAAACAACTTCTGCACCTCCTCTTGCATGTACACCACTGCTTGCAAAGTTCTCTTACATCAGTAAGTTGCCATTTTGCAAAAAGGAGAAGGGACGGCGGGTAAAGAAGGGAGGTCAGGTCACATAAATGATCCGAGTATAAAAGCACTCATCAGGGAAAACAGCACTTTTCCACCATGCCGGTGCCAATGCAACCGGCATCAAGGTGAGGAACGCCCTCCCCACCACCCCCGTCTCTGAGGTGAGGGACGCCCTCTCCACCACCCCCGTCTCTGAGGCGAGGTGAGTGACACCCTCTCCACCACCCCGTCTCTGAGGTGAGGTGAGGGACGCCCTCTCCACCACCCCCGTCTCTGAGGCGAGGTGAGTGACACCCTCTCCACCACCCCGTCTCTGAGGTGAGGTGAGGGACACCCTCTCCACCGCCCCCGTCTCTGAGGTGAGGGACGCCCTCTCTACCGCCCCCATCCCTGAGGCGAGGTGAGGGACACCCTCTCCACCACCCCGTCTCTGAGGTGAGGTGAGGGACACCCTCTCCACCACCCCGTCTCTGAGGTGAGGTGAGGGACACCCTCTCCTCCGCCCCCACCTGTGAGGCAGACTTGCTGCTGAAAGCACTGGTCTGAATCCAGACCCCCCGGTAACAACCCAATCCACACTTCTTCACACATCCGTGGATGTGTGGACCACACATGCGTCTGCACACCTCAAACCGTACAAAGCCCTCAAGTACTTTTACTCCCGTCCTGCCCATCGGGTGACACTGGCACAAAGCAGCACGCTACAGTTTCCTGTTTTCGGTTGGCCTTCATCTGCACAACCTCATTTTACTCCATCCTCGGTCAGATTTCCTTCTGCGCTTAGACATGTCTACGTCAACAACAGACACAAACCATACTAGCGGCAACACAAGTAGCTAACATTTCTGAAAAGCCTTCAAATCTTTCCCCCGGTGATCTCCTCTTCATCCTCAAAAGTGGGGGGGGGGGGGGCAGAGTGCAGGGGGCAGGGTCTGTCTCCCCTGCTGATACAGAAAAGGAGGCATACAGATGTTTTGGTCACTTGCCAAGGTCCCCAGAAAGTTCAAGGGTCAAGCCAACACTAAAGTCTGATTTCAGCGATTAGCTCTTAACACATGTCATGCTATTAGGTTGAATCATAGGATTTGCAGCCTTGTTGCAGTTCACACGGACAACTTCCCCAGACTCGGCTTTGGCACCGCAGAGGGCAGTGATGCGGGTGAGGCCTGGACGTGTGTAAGAGGCTCTCCCATGCGTGGATGGGGAAGGCGTCCGTGCTCTACTGCCAACCACATAAGCCTAAAGAACTATGGGGGCGCCTGGGTGGCTCAGTTGGTTAAGCATCCGACTTTGGCTCAGGTCATGATCTCACGGTTTGTGGGTTCAAGCCCCATGTCGGGCTCTGTGCTGACAGCTCAGAGCCTGGAACCTGCTTTGGATTCCGTGTCTCCCTCTCTCTGCCCCTCCCCTGCTTGTGCTCTGTCTCTCTCTCTCTCTCTCTCTCAAAACAGAGTGGCGTTTTCCAGACCTGACGGCTGCTGGGAGTTGAGAGGCGGTGTGTAGAGCGGAGAGAGGGGAGCGGGGAAGCCGTGAGGACAGCGCTCCCACAGGACGCACCTTCGGCACATGCACAGACAGGGTGGAGCGTGTGTGTGTTTAAAACACAGGTTTCCGCCTCTATACGAGTCAGAGGCCGTGATTAGCGGACACCAGGCAGGACACGTGCTACACGGTTTAGGGCCTTGTCCAAAGCCGCACGTTCCAGAAGTTACTAATGTAGTTAAATTAATTCTTGTAAACGAGATGCCTGGAAAAGTAAACGCCAACTTATCCTCCTTCAGACGACACAGGGCACTTTCAAACAGCAGAAACGTTTCACAATCTCCCAACCACTTTCTCGAAGTTCTCCGTGTGATCCAGTATGGAGAGGCATCAGCCACCTACGTGTTCCTCAGATTCATGCCCGATTGTCATTTATGATCTACAAGTACTTAAAAATGGATTTATGTGTTTTCAAAGACATACACATTTGGAAATAAATACCCAGACTCTTGTGATATTTAAACCCATTTACACTGAGAGAGACACACACACACTCTTTCAAAACACTCCTGGAAAATTCAAAAGGACAAAGCAGTATGAAATAAAACGGGACGTAAATGTAAAGCAACTTAACCAAACAATAATCATTCCAATAAGGTCTCTCTTCCCTGTGAATTCACGTCATAACCTACGTGACAGAACTTCAGTCCACATGCTGACCCACAACACTCAGCAGCTCCTCTCCGGCCACGGCGGCCTGTAACAGGTCTCGGCGGTGTCGCCGGTGTGGGCACACAAGGCACAAAGACTAGTTGTAGGAAGACAAGTTTGAGGACAGGCGGCTCTGATGTTCGCCACAATACGGATTTCTAAAAGTAATAATCAGTTGTTTTAAACCCATAGTTCTAGCTATCTACAGGGTAATATTTAAAAACACTGCATCCGCTTTGGAACTGTTCTCCAAATCCATTTCTAAGCCACACAGGAACGTGTCATTCAAACTGTGACTGTTCCCAAAGGATTATTACTCAACTGGGTTACTAATCACTAAACTTAATTCCCAATCACCTTTACTGTTAGGAAACAACCCACACTGAGAGAAGGATTTATCAAGACATCTACAGATCAGCACAAAAGTATACAGAACTTTAGAAACAACTTTCATGCAGGAAACGCAAGTCTTTTGAGCAAGGAGAAATCCAGTCATGAGGCGTTCCCCAGAATCTGTTTAAACAACCCCTATCGGGGTTAAGACGAGTCTTCGTCCTCCACATGTGAACCCAGTCACTAGGGTCCCCGTCACGTAGATGTGGGCAGACTGGACACACTGGAGGAATCAGAGCAGCTAGAACTGAGCATCATTTGTAGCAAAGAAGCGTAACAACAAGAAAACCCCTCGCCGATGCCTCGGAACTTACTCCCCACACAGGCTCAGAGGCTTCGCAGTTGTGACGGGTTAACCGTGTCTCCCCGGAAGGGGCCCCGTTACCCTGGGCCATGCCCCCAATTACGCACTAGGTGATGACAGGTGGGACTGGTCACGACGGCTCAGGCTGCACAAGGCAGGCCTAGCATCCCCACAGGGGTCACCGGGGAGGACTGTGTGGGCACCCCGCAGGGACGCGCCCGGGACCAGGAACACGGTGTCCTCACAGCCCGCGGAGGAACCGCTCCTGTGGGCACCCTTGTTTCACAGCTGCCGCCTCCCAGAACCAGGCGACAGAAATGCTTGCTGTTCAGGCCACCGTGTGTGCGGCACCTCGTCACAGCAGCCTGCAGGGGCTGTTTATAAGAACTGACACCTCTCGGGGCACCTGGGTGGCTCAGTCAGTTATGGGTCCAACTTCAGCTCAGGTCATGATCTCACAGTTTGTGGGTTCGAGCCCCGCATCGGGCTCTGCGCTGACAGCTCAGAGCCTGGAGCCTGTTTCAGATTCTGTGTCTCCCTCTCTCTCTCTGACCCTTCCCTGCTCACACTGTCTCTCTTTCTCTCAGAAATAAATAAAACATTAAAAAAAATTAAAAAAAAAAAGAACTGACACCTCTCATAAAGGTCTGTCCTTTCACAGAAGCTGCTGACCAGCACGGAAGCAGCCATAAAGTGCCCTGGACCAACCTCAAGGCTGATAATTTTCACAGTAAGTTACAGTAAAGTTGCAAGAGAGTTTTAGGATATATCTAATTTTCTACAAGCATATTTACACATTTAGATTTCAGTCATTTCTAGATGAATAGAAAATTAGCATCACAGAGAAGAAAGTTTCACAGCGAAAATAACTAATTTTCCAGAAGCCAAAAAAAAAAAGTATCTTCTCATTTAATCTGCACTTAATCTGCTCCGCTCATGACACAGAAACATCACAGCTAAGGAAATAACACAGTTTTGCAAAACTATTTTTAAAAAACCTGTGAATATGAATTCCCTTCCTCACCCAGGCCTCAGGCTCCCCTGCTCTGCTTCCCACCTTGCCAGAGGCCATTCTTTGACCCAAGATTTAAAGAACTTTACTACAGCCGTAAAACATATTTAGAACTCATTCACCTAGAAAATAACACTGTGTGATTCTAAAGCCACAAAACAAACATTTAAACTCCTCTAAAAACTTTTTCTAAAAAACTCTGTCCATATGATCCACAGACAATCTGTAATTCCTGCAGATGCACCGACTCTCTGGCTCTGAAAACAGACTTGAAAATGAGCCTCTGCACCAGGCTCCGCCGTCACAGGTCCAGCCAGCAGCTCGGGGGCCGGCAGACGAGCGCCTGGCTGGCCGTCCGCTCTGGAATCTGAAGTGGCCACTTTCCTGTTAATTTTTTTTAATGTTTAATTTTAAAAATTTTTAAATGTTTTTTTTTTATTTCTGAGAGAGAGAGAGAGAGTCAGAGAGAGAGGGAGACAGAATCTGAAGCAGCTCCAGGCTCTGAGCTGTCAGCACAGAACCCAACATGGGGCTCAAACCCATGAACTGTGAGATCATGACCTGAGCTGAAGTTGGATGCTTAACCGACTGAGCCTCCCAGGCTCACCAATGTTTGTTTATTTTTGAGAGAGAAGGAGAGACGGCATGAGCAGGGGAGGGTCGGAGAGAGAGGGAGACACAGAATCGAAAGCAGGTTCCAGGCTCTGAGCTAGCTGTCAGCGCAGAGCCTGACATCCACTCAGGAGGGGGCGGAGTGTGTGTGTGTGTGAGTGTGTAAGGGGGTGACAGTCTGTGGTTACCTAGAAACCCCCAAGGAAAGTGCGAAGATGCAGAACACGCCCTCCCCACCCCCAAACCTACCCACCTCGCCGTCTTCACCCCTGCCCTCATCCCTGCCCTCAATCGATGTCACACAGGGCTGATCCCAGAATTTTGAAAACAAGAAATAACAAGAAGTATCCTTTTTTAAGAACTTGAAAAGCAAAAAACACAACTCAACACACACTAGATTTAAAACCTGAAAACTGATCTCAAAGGGATGATCTTTCCTATTACATTTAACGTGATGAGAGAAAGCCTCTTCAACTAAACACTACAGACAAAATCATCTCACATGTTAACAAATTGAAGCTAGCAGAACCTACCAGGCTGTCTGGTACCACAACGGGTACCAGTTCACGGGGACAGAAGGGCTTACAAGGAAACAGAAGAACAGACGGCGCTCTGGGGGCGGGGGTCACCATACACCTGGGACGTTTACCGAAACGCCCTCCCACCGAAGACCCCTCCTCCCAGGACCCCAATTCCCCGGCCACCCTCGACTGTCTCACAGAGCAGCCCAGAGCCCTCCCGCTTCCTGCGGGCAGAGGCACACGACCCGTCCACGCCCCCTGCTCAGCGCCGGGCTCTCCTGCCGCTCCGATCATGGTCCCCGTGCTGGCTCATGTGGGTGGGGCTGCACGACAGCCTTGCACCCTGGGAAAGGCCACCTCGCTAACCCATAAAGGGCACAATGCCGACGACCGCAGGCAGCTCGGTATCTGATTACTAAGATGTTAAAAATGTTAGGATACTAAGGACGCTGGAAACGTACAGCACGCGCAAGGCAAAGCGTAGGCAGAGGACCGAGCGCTAAGGGCCCACCTGTGGGGCTGGAAGCGGGGATGCAGGTGCAAGACAGGCTTAGAAGGCAATTCAGGAACAAGATCAAGGACAGGGGGGAAAGGGTTTCGAAGTCACTGCGTATCTTCGTTCAGGATACAAAAATGAAATAAAAGGGGCCCAACTGAGCACCTCTGATCCGGGGCATGGGCCTGCTCCGATTCCTCAGTCCCCCCCAAGGTCGGGGAGCACGGGGCCTGCGCTGTAGACTGACGGGTAGCGTCCAGGCCCCCATGGCTGCCTCTCACTGCGAAGTGAAAATTCATCTTTTAACGTGCTCTGGGTCTATGTATAGACCTCATCAAAGTGTCTGAGCCAATCAGATTAGATGAAAATTTAATACTATGAAATGTGCTTTTAACTTTCTTAAAAAGTAATGTATCTTTAAAAAAAACATGCTGTTTTATATTCTTAGCCATCTTTCTTAAGGTGGGTGTCACCTCTCCAGTGCGAACTGCCACCTGTTTGGGTGGGGACCACAGCGAGTGTGTCCGGCCCGCAGCACTTAACACGGTGACGTGCGCTGCGTACGTGTTCAAACGCACTTGCCAAACACCACTCTGACACATCTTCTCACGTAGTAATACATGGGGAAGGGGAACAAACGCAATACTGGGAACTGACCTCTGAAACCGTGAGAACGGAAGCCAACTAATAGCAAGTACAGGTTTTAAAAAGGCTTTAATTGTGAAGGATTAGACGAGAACGGAAGAACCTCACAGAACTGAGAATTAACCATCTCAAGTACCTCATTCTAAACAAGTGTGAGAACACCTGGGGAGTCGTGAGCTTCTGAGAACTCTGATACTTACATTCTGAAAGCAGCTAATCTACTGGCTTGGCCAATTTTTGTTGTCTTTGGGGGAGGAAGAAAACACAGGCAGGCACAGATCCCCGCAGACTTCGCGCTCCCACCCTGTGCACCCCCACGCGCCCTGTGCACCCCCACGAGCCGGGGCCTGGAAGAAAGGCTCATCATCGACGTGCGATGGGCTCATGAGCTGCTGAATGCTGAACACCTTGAACTTATCGAATCGAACTTATCCAAAAAGTAGTCTGCTGTTCTATTTACCGTAGGTGAAAATCCTAACGTTAAGAACAGTATAGGACCATCCAATCAAAAGGAAAATAAACATTTTCAACTTTTGTCTTTTTTTTGGACAACAAAGCAAGCAATTCTCGAAGTAAAATCAACAGCACATTTAAAAAACGCAGCAGTATGATTTCACCTGGATAAAAACTGAAAGTCAGATTACTTTTTGTTTCAGGGCCCCACGACCTTATCATAAGTGATGGCAGACACAGAAGTGCAAGCCCGGGCCTGGCAGGGACCCAGGACCCGGGACCCAGGACCCAGGACCCAGGACCCAGCGCCCGGCGGGGACCCAGGACCCAGGACCCAGGACCCAGGACCCAGGACCCAGCGCCCGGCAGGGACCCAGGACCCAGGACCCAGGACCCAGCGCCCGGCGGGGACCCAGGACCCAGGACCCAGGACCCAGCGCCCGGCGGGGACCAGGGACCCGGGGCCCAGCGCCCGGCGGGCAGCCCACGAGCGGGCAGGCTGCTCTGGCGCAGGCTACGTCTCCCCTCTGCCCTCACGCAGGTTACCTTGGCACCAGACTTCCGCCTGCTTGTCTTCTTCTTACCTTGTCCTGTATACCTTGGTATCTGAGCATGAGAATAAAATGACATTTTACCACAAAGTATAAATCTTTAAAAAGACACTAATTCACCACCAAACTAATAAAGTTTCCTATTAGAAGAGTTCGTAAAAATGGAAACCCGAATCAACCAAAGAGTTTCCGTTTTGAAACCCGCTATTTGCTTTTTTCCTCTTTCCTCAACTCTCTTCCTCAAGTGCTTCAACCCACACGGGACTGCCGTGCCTCATGGCCACTCGGCCACCCGTCCACACCGTGGCCGCAGCCTGCCCCCCGGCAGCCGTGCGGAGCCGCTCCTCCGGGCCCAGGCCGGCCTCCCCGGCGGCCTCCCCGCTTCCTCGGGAGCACACAGCCGAGCTCCCGCAGGTCGGGCTGGCCCCGAGGCTGGACCACGACGTCCCAGGGCCGCCTGTGCCCTCCGTGGGCTCCCGGACTGGTGAGCCACCGGCCCAAAACGATTCAGAGGCCATGAGCCACAAAGGAAAGCTGGCAAGAAGAAGGCGGGGGAAGTACTGACACCCCGAGTGCCTGTCGTCAGCACTCCGGGGAACCGCACCTCCACCGACACGGCCTCCTGCTGACCTGAGTCGGGGCCGCTGCCCCCGGAGCACGAGGGCCACCCAGCCGGTCACCCTCCACAACGGCATCAGTGCCCGGGGAGCACGGAGGCGGCGCCCGCCCGCCAGCTGACCTACACGCTCCTCGTCGTACTTCCTAGGCCTCGAAAGTCACTTCTGCGGCCTGAGTAGGAATCGTAAGAGGCTGTGATATCTTACCCTAAAGACACACCACACATAGAAGCTGGTTCTGCTAATCTGCTTTAGAAAATAATAATTTGCTAAAAAGAGCTTCCAAAGAGTTCAGTGCTACGGGGACTGATATTCTGGAAGATGCATTAACTCTGACCCCTTCACAGCCAGCCAGTTTGACAGAAAGCAAAGCTGCTTACAAACGCTCAGGTATCTGACAATTCATTTAAAGGGTCTTTGCAAATCTACTCACAGCCTTGTTCTCTGTTCCCATGGTTACCGCCTCCCATGAGCATCACGGGAGAACCTTCCGCACGGGACAGGCTAACTAGAGCTCAGGGAGAAGGCACCGCTCCCCCCGCTGACGGGCCCTTTCCACGGTGGGAAGCAGCGCCCCAAATCCTCTGGGAACGAAGAGGAGCAACGGCATCAGAGAACCAGCGACAAAACTGCAGGGAGCACTCAGCAGGGAGCACTGAAGGGGTCCGAGAGAGACCTCGCTCTACGACCACCGGACTCTAGAAGCCACCCCATCTGAGCCACCATCTGCGCCCTGCACCCCGCCCTCCGGCGTCTCCCCGACCCTGTGGGCCGGAGAGCAGGGCAACGGCCGGCACAGCCTGGCCCAGTCCCGCCCCGGGCAGGGCTGGCCGGTCCCGGCAGAGCGCGCTGCGCCCCAACTGCTCATGGGACAGCGTGTTCGTTACCCCGCGATCCTACTGTCCCGGACTGCACATCCCAGGGTCCCGCTCACTGGTCTCCCCCAGGTGCCACATCCCTGAAAGCAGAAGGCCTAAAGTTTAACAACCCATAACCACTCCCTCACCCCCCCCCACACACAGGCAGCCAGAGCACTCGTATTTACTCATAAATGCTCCAAACAGCTCGTTAACACAAAACCGTTGTAGTTCACCATTCCAAACTGGTCACCCATCTAAGACAGTCAACACAACAATACTCTGGAACACTAGTCTGGAACCTCGTATCCTCAAGCCAAACATTTATAAATGAAAAATAAGTAAACCTCCTAGTCAACTGAGGAAGGAAATGTTCAAAGTACCAAACTGAGGAAGAAAACTTTCAAAGTACCAAATGTGCCCAAAATCTTCCAATTCTGTTATTCAACAGTATATTCCTCTCTAGGAAAATTCAAAACTTTTGAAAATTCAAAATCCAAAACACTCCCAACCCAGTGAAATAATCTATAAAAACACAGGCTGCATCAGGGGAAAAGAAGCACCGCTGCGAACTTGGGGCGCCTGGATGGCTTGGTCGGTTGAGCGTCCGACTTTCGCTCAGGTCACGATCTCGCAGTTCGTGGGTTCGGGCCCCGCGTCGGGCTCTGTGCTGACTGCCAGCTCAGAGCCTGGAGCCTCTTTCGGTCTGTGACTCCCTCTCTCTCTGACCCTCCCCTGCTCACGCTGTCTCTCCCTCTCTCTCCTAGAAATAAATAAAACATTAAAAAAAAAAAAAAGCAGCACCGCCGCGAACCCCACAGCGCGTCGGCCCCGCGGCCGCTCACCTTGCTGGGGCCGCTGTGGGTGCTCGTCCTGCCTTCCGGTGACCTTGGTGGAGAATGCACGTCAGAGAGATCCAGGGCACCCTAAAACGTTTCAGTTCAAAGTTAAAATTAATAACACGTAAATATACAAACTATGCCTCAACAGAATTGTAGCATTTAAAACCACTATAGGACGTGATGTTTTTCTAATTAACCAAAGTATTATTAGACTTTCCTCAATTTTACTAAAACAATAGAAACAACACGAAACACACTTAGATCCTAATCATCAAAGCATTTGGCTCCATGACCCTGAGCCGTCCCCCGCCCCCCTCCCCCACCCCTGCACGTGAACCCGGCAGGGACCTGACACCCCCTCCTCTCACGCTCTCAGACGCGCCTCCCGAGTCCGCTCGTCTCCACCACATCAACTAGCAACTCAGAACACACGTCACCCTCTCGGACGGCGGCCCCTACTGTCCTCGTCCCTGAGCCCCGGTGCCTGCCCCCACCCCCCCCCCGTCACAAGCTCTGCGCCCAGTCTGCATATTAAACATCGGTCACCTTGCCATCACAACCCTTCCCACGACCACAGCTTTTAAACACGCAAATACGCTGCGCCTCACGCCTTCCGCTCCTCCGTCGGACCCGCGACTTCAAGTAACGGCGTCGTCCTCCCCCAGGCTGACGTCCTGTCTCACCTTTGCAAACTCCTCCTCTTCCCGACTGCACTCGAAGGCCCCGGCCCTCTGCCGAAGTATTAACTCACCCAGTCTGGTGGCTTCTGCCTTCACGGGGGACCTTTATCCGCCCGCTTGGCTCTGCGTTTAGGTCTGCCTTCCGGGGGCCGCCACGTCTTCTCCCGACGTCCCCATCTAGCGGTCACGAACGCGCACCTGCTGCGTGCACAAGTCCGCAAAAGCCTCCCGCTGACCGTGAACACGCCATCTGTTAGGAACGCCTGTCCCCAGCCGAGGCCTGACATGAGCAGAGGGCCGGGCCACAGCAGCCGCAGGCTCGCGGGGCCGGGGCTCAGCGCCCACGACCGCCAGCAGCGAGAGAGGACGGACAAGAGGAAACACCCCAAAAGGCAGGGTGGGAGAGAGACCGTGCATGAGAAATCCCGCGGCTGGATGCGGGGGTGACGTGCCGTCCCGGGGGCAAGGGGTGAGAGGGCAGGAAAGCAAAGGTCACTTTCAAGTACGAGCACATGTGCCTGAAGCACAAGGTCCCACAGTTCAAGACCAGACGTGAGGCCACAAAGTCACACACATCACACGGGAACTTCAAGTCAAGGCTGAGGAATCCGGATGCGGTCTGGCTGCCGTTACACAGTGACTGCAATTTCTCAAGAGGAAACGCACAGATAAACAGCTGAGCTCCAACACGGAGTGGGCACGAGCAAGAGGTGTAGACGGAGCGCGAGAGCACCGGCAGGCACTGCCGGGGGACGGGGGCGACCATGAGGTGCTCGAGGGGAGGACGGGGCTCACCAGGGGCAGTGCAGCCGCAAGTGCCGCGCTCCACGGGGGGCGCATCCGACACCTGCCAAATCAACTCAAAGTCACGGTCACGGATGCTGGCACAGCCACCTGATTCTTAAGGTGGTTTTAAAAAGCTATTTTGGTCAAGGCATCACGAACAGAGTTCAGTACACACCTAGGTTTCTTCTCCAGCATCAGAAATCAAAGGTTAATAAAAAAAAAATTTTTTTAAACCTACAATTTTTCATTTCATTATAAACGACAGGCTTCCTCTCAAAATTATGAACGCCAGTGAATGACAGAAGAGCCAATACAGACACCCATGAGTTCCCTACTTTAAATGTGAATTTGACTACAATTTGTACGTAAACACACACACACACACACACACACACACACACACACAAAGCGACACACCCAATATTGAGGGGAAAAGTAGCAAAAAGTGGCTATTTAGTGAGGGGACCCGACCCCCTGAAGCCACAGCGGCCTTGCCCGGGCACGTGAAAGAGCGAGCCCAGAGACAGGCTAAACCGACCGGGGAGCCACTGGAGCCTCCAGTCACGATGACAAAGAACATGCCTCCTGAGTTTCCGTTTTCAAACCGAACCCACTAGACAAGAGCGCTCGGAGCGGGTCTGGCTGGAGAGCTGGCCGGGGGTCCGGGGCAGCAGCCAGGACCCGCAGCTTCAGGGACAGGGACCCCTACCTCCAGGACCAGCCCCGGGGGCACAAGCGGGGAGGCAGCTCCGGGACCAAAACCAAGGAGTCACAGGAAGACGATCAGACGGCAGAGCTAGGGCCGCCCTGCGTGGCTTCCACTTTGCCAGATTAAATCAGTTCTCTCACACAGGACTCAGATGCACGAGCGAGCTACCCAGGTGGGGACGTTTGTGAAGACCTGGAAACTCGGGTTCGGGCAGGGAGGAAGGAGCGGCAGGTGGGGAGTCACCCGAGCAGGAATAGTAGCACAACGAGACACGCGATAATAAAGGCAGAACCTGACAAGATCCCTTTGGGCCTCACTGCGACCCACGAGGCTGACACTTCTATTCTCTCCATCTCGCGGGTGAGGACCCAGGGCACGTGAGGCTGTGACGTCGGGAGGTGGCCCCAGCGAGCTGAGGGAGGGACCGCAAACCAGAGCCAATGTGGGCGGCCGGCAGGCACGGCAGGGAGATGGACCCACGGGCGACAAGGAAGGCAAGAGAAGGGCGGGCCGACCACCCCCCGCTGGCCCAGGGAGAGGGGGAGGGGAGGGGAGGGTGGGGGGCAGGCCGTCCCGTCCGGAATTCTGTACATCCATTACATCTGCGTTTCTTCTTCCTCGCTACCATCTAGCACGACGCCCATCCTGTGCCACGCACGCACCAAAGGCTCGGGGACGACCACAAAGGAACAAGATCACAACGCACAGGCCAAGCGACGCCGCGTGCCCCGCAGGCTGACATGCCCACCCAGCCAGATGGGGGTCCGCTCCCTGCCACTCGAGCACCTTGCTGGTGCCATCTTGCCACCCTCCTGCAGTGACCCGGAGCTTAACAACACATCCACCAGACACAACACCACGCCGGGGGCGCCAACTGTGGCTCAGGTCACGGTCTCGCGGTTCACAGGTTCAAGCCCCGCGCTGGGCTCTGTGCTGACAGCTCAGAGCCTGGAGCTGCTTCAGATTCTGTGCCTCCCTCTCTCTGCCCCTCCCCCACCTGTGCGCGCGCGCGCGCGCTCTCTCTCTCTCTGTCTCAAAAATAAATAAATGTAAAACCAAAAAAAAAATGTTTCTTAAAAACAAACACCCACTGTCCCTTTACCTAGCCTTACTACTCATAAAATGCCCTGAACCAGTCACCTCCTGGACACTCCCTCTCGTATGAGCGTCACGGAAGCCTCCATTTCCTCACGTGGGCACAGGCCAGCCCGAAGAGTTCCCAACTACTGTAGTCTGTGTTTCCAAGAAACATCCTCATTTCTCATCTGTTCACTGCAAGTGTCTGCCTGTCATGCCTGGCATGTGTCAGGTGCTCAGTCAGGCTACCCAGATCTGCGGAGATCCTGACCGAAAACATACTCTGCGGCTGCGCACAGGCGGTGCGTGACCCTCACAGCCTCAGCAGCGAACCTGGGACTCAAAGTGCACCGTGAGCCAGGCGTCTGAGACAACGGCCGTGCCGCCCACGTCGGTGAAACAGCGTCTTTCCATGAAGTTGACGTTTGCAAACAGAAATCAGACATTAACCTCATGAGTGTGATTTCTAAACAGAAGCAGTAAGAACACAGAAGCTTGAAAACGTTTAGAAATTAAGCACAACCAACAGCTTAACTGTCTCTAAGTCTCTTTTTAAAAAACCTTTAAGTTCAAAATATTGTTAACCAGCCAATAATTCAGCCCTGTTGTTTGAAACGGTAACCAGACAGCAGCTAACAAGGAGCTGAGCGGCCTCCGCACTTCATGTGCGCTAACTCCTGCATCAGGCTCCGCAAGACCCGTGAGGCAGCCGCTCTCCCCACCATACACAGGAGCCTCTAGGGAGGGACGGCACGCCCAGAACCCACGGCTAGTGGGGGTGATGAGCTGGAGCTGGTTCCAGGGAGCCTGGGCCCTGACCCCAACACCCCCATACCCGTTTGCAGAAGGAAAGCAGCTCCAGGCTCAGAGCTGCCACTTCAATCTTCATCAAAATACGGGTTTATACAATCTGAGTGTGTTTCATTTTGTTTCAAGGAACAGCTTCTTTCCATTTAAACTCTGACTACATATGCAACACCCTGCATGGCTGGCTCTGCTGAGCAGCCAATACTTAAAACAGAAAAACATAAGGGAGGCTAGGACTGTACTCACCTCCCCGTTGGCTGATCCTTTCTCTTTCTGTTGACAGCGTCTGATCACTTCTAGTAACAAAGGTCCACCCACAGTACCTTCTGCTTCAATAATACCTAGATCCCGTGCTAAATTCTCTCGACCTTCAAGACCTTGAAACTTGGGAAGAAATAAGATGTAAGAAATAAGATATAAATGCACAAAAGAACGCAAATTATCTTCAAAGATTTAAAAAAAATATTTTTAGAACTTAAAGATATCTGAAAACTCAGAGACCATTTTTCTAACAAATAAAATGCCCATTTAAAAAGTTATCTAGGGGCGCCTGGGGGGTTCTCAGTTGGTTAAGCCTCCAACTTCGGCTCAGGTCATGGTCTTGTGGTCTGTGAGTTCGAGCCCCACGTCGGGCTCTGTGCTGACAGCTCAGAGCCCGGAGCTGCTTCCCATTGTGTGTCTCCCTCTCTCTCTGCCCCTCCCCCAGACACTCATGCTGTCTCTCTCAAAAATAAACAAACATTAAACCATTTTTTTTTAATGTAAAAGAATTATCTATTTCTTTTAGTCCCTACACCCCTTTTTAGTCCAAGTCCCTACATCCAAAGTCCCCATTATCGGGTGCGGTCAGCTACAAAACCCTCCTCTCGAAGTCCTATAAAGCAGCAACAAGCTTGTTACCAACAAGCTACAGCACAGATGGCTTTTACGAAAAACAGATAATCAACCACAAAAAAATAATCTCTACACAAGACGCCATAAATTGCCCAATTTTCTTAAGTTTCGGCTTAACTCGTTTATAACAGAGAGGGTTTCCAATGATAGATGCAAAAGTCATTACTCTTACCGTGCTAGTTTCAGGCTGAAAAACGGCCAAGGTGAAGTCAAGATTGAAAAACTGAAGAAACTCGGCAACCAGACTGGCCACCAGCCGGCCTGCAAGAAGTGAGAGGCGGTAAGCAGCGCGCACCTCCCGGGGCCGGGCCTCCTCACCAGCACCGCGGCACACGGGCGGCTCGCTACCTGACAAATAGAGGTTTCTACAGTTTTTAATTACAAATTCATCTTAGGAGAACACGGTTATGTAACGAAAATCTCAGTCTCCTCACTTTTTCTCATTAGGGTCATCAGTTTGGAGGCAACTATTAACCAGACAACACAGCATTTCATAAATGGAATCAAGTGTTCTGATTCTTAGGGTAGAACTGGTTTTAACCAACAATTTCCCGTGACCAATAATTAAAGCAACTTAAGGGGCGCCTGGGTGGCTTAGTCGGTTAAGCGTCCGACTTTCGCTTAGGTCATGATCTTGAGGTTCGTGGGTTCGAGCCCCGCGTCGGGCTCTGTGCTGACTGCCAGCTCAGAGCCTGGACCCTGCTTCAGATTCTGTGTCTCCCTCTCTCTCTGACCCTCCCCTGCTCGCGCTGTCTCTCTCTCTCCTAGAAATAAATAAAACATTTAAAAAAAATAAATAAATACAGCAACTTAACAAGTGTACAATAAATTGCAATTTTCAAGTGAGGGCCTGTAAGAATCACAGGCTTCAAAAAACCCTGATCTCTCCGAAATGGGATCAACATCTGACAATTCCGGGAGAGACATCTGAACATCTTACCATCTTTCGTGTTCAAAAACTTTCTCAGGCTCTCATTGACTAGAGGAGTTTTGTTCTGTTAAAAAATGAAATACCGCGTCATGAGTTTATCATAAGAACGACTATAAAATGTGGTTATGTGTATATGTGACAAAGATATAAATAAAATATTGTCACTAGTAAAACTACGGCTAAACCCATTCTATAAGTATTGGCTGCTATAAAAATTCTTCTATACTATTTAATATCTCAGACTTAACAAAATGAGACTATATGTGAGAATATGTATTTACTTATTACTGGTAAATATTTCATCAACTGCTTACTAAACTACTTTAGAAGCTAAATCTTCAAATACGCCTGTAAAATGACACTACGTTTACTTACAAAAACAAATTTATTATTCCAAATACATGAAGCTGACCTTGGGTCCCCGTGACGATGGCGAGCTACCATTTATAGCAGGACTCATATTACGCACTTGCTATTCCCAGCTCGTCAGCGGTAAGTAATATGGTTTTGTGCAGTGCACAGGCCGGCTTATTTTTGTCATTCGACATTTATTCGAATACAAGAAAAATGCTCCTGGCCCCCCAGCCCCCTTCGGCAGACTGCATGAGCTATGGCTGTACCGGGGCCTCACACTCCGCTGGCGGGACTGTAAACGGGGCACTTGCTCTGGAAAGTAATCTAGGAATGTTTTCAAAAGTTAAAGGCACCCCTACCCTATGACCCATCTATAGGGTTAGGGTCAGGGTCAGGTCAGGGTTAGGGAAAAGCCCAGATCCAAGCAAAGGGGTGGACAGGAACGTTCATAGAAGCCCCGTTTATGAGAAACTGGCAACAGGTCAAACGCTCCCCCACAGGTGAGTAAACTGCCACAGGCCCGGACGGCGGGCACCACACAGGGGCAGGATGGAACCAACTAGCGACACAGGTGACAACATGAACGGTCTCAAGCCGTTATGCTGCGTGAACGCAGCCAGCTCAGAAAAGGAGGCAGCCGTGCTGCAGGACTGCACCTGAACGGCCCTACGTGCACGGAGACCCAGGGCTGGGAAGCCTGTTACAAAGAGGTCTGAGGAAGCTTTCAAGGGTCAAGGACATGGCCACTATCTTGATGGTCTCATGCTTGCATAAATTTGTTAAAATGTAACACACGGTACATTTAAGTACGTTGAGTTTACTGTAAGTCAATTCTATCTCAATAAAGTTGTTTTTAAAAAACCAAAAAAGATAAGGAAGGGAAAGAACACAAAGGTCCTTGGGGCACCTGGGTGGTTCAGGTCATGATCTCACGGTTCGTGGGTTCGAGCCTCGCGCCGGGCTCTGTGCTGACAGCTCAGAGCCTGGAGCCTGCTTCTGATTCTGTGTCTCCCCCTCTCTCTGTGCCTCCCCAGCTCATGCTTTTTCTCTCTCAAATATAAACATTAAAGAAAAAGAAAGAACACAGAGATCCTTACTTGGTTGGTCTACAGAATTTTAAGACACTGAGTCGCCTAAAATATGTAAAGCAAATGGAGAGACAAGTTCAGATGTCGATTATAAACAGCCAGTCTAGGAGCACTGCGGAGAAGGACTTCAGGAAGACGGTGAGGAGCACAACGGGAAGACTGGAGAGGAGGAACGGGCAAGGTGGAAAAGAAACAGCTAAACGCTATGTGGAGGGCGGCAGAGAACCTCCTCGGACATGTCAGGCACGGCACTGCCGGGACCGGGCAGCTCACTGGACACACAGAAAGAAGAGCAAGGTCCCAGCGACTGTGACCTCCCACCTGGGTGAGGAGCAGTCCCACACGCTGGGTCTGTCCAGCAGGCGCTGCCACAGACAGGTCTGAGGCTCACGCTATGGGCCAAAGCTGTGGGCTGAAGTCACTGCTGTGGCTGAGGCGGTCCCAGGAGAGAACAGAGAGCGAGGACCCGGATAACGCACCAAGCATTTATGTGAGGTGCACAGGACAAAGATCGTGCTACAGAAACCAAGCAGTGGTCCAAAGGAAAAAAGAAGAAGAAAACAGAAAGAATCCCAGAATTCCAGGGAGGATTTTCGGGAAGGGAGAGAAGAATTAATTATGTCGAATAGCACAAAGAACACCTAAGGTGAGAACTAGAATATACTCAACAAGGAGGCGCTTCTTGACCCCCGCAAAAGGAATGACCTACGTGTAGTAGATTTAAAACAAACGTAAGTGGATTGAAGATGTTCATGGATTAAAGGATGCCTAGAGCATAAGAAATAAGACTGATGAGGGGCGCCTGGGTGGCTTAGTCGGTTAAACGTCCGACTTTCGCTCAGGTCATGATCTCGCGGTTCGTGGGTTCGAGCCCCGCGTCGGGCTCTGTGCTGACTGCCAGCTCAGAGCCTGGAGCCTGTTTCAGTCTGTGACTCCCTCTCTCTCTGACCCTCCCCTGCTCACGCTGTCTCTCTCTCTCTCTCCTAGAAATAAATAAAAATATTTAAAAAAAAAAAAAAAAAGAAATAAGACTGATGAGCTCTTTCCAGACTTGGCTGTGAGGGGAAGAAACGGAGGGGTAGTAAAAGCAGAACACGAGTTAAGAAAACAGTTAAGGGAGAGAACAAAGATACAGCAAATGGCTGAGGAGCTGAGAGCATCTGGAAGGCAAAGCCCAGAGAAAGTGACTATTCTTGGACAAGACAGAGCCTCCTCCCCTAAAGCAGGAAGGACAGAGGTAGAGACAAATACAGGTGTGCGCGAGCTTCTTCTGAGCTGAATGACAGATGAGGGGGCACAAAAAGCTAGGACCCAATGCTTCTGTCTCCCTGTGAAGAAAGAGACAAGAGCGGTGTTAAGAGTGGAGGGAGCGGGAGGTGGAACCGTGTGCAGGGCTAAGCAGGAAGGGCTGAACCAGGAGGACTCAGGGCCGCTGGGACCCGGCCAGCCAGTACCCACCAGTCAGTCACAGCAGAGTCCGTGCCGGGTGAGCGCTGGCGCAAACACACACAGCAGGGAGGGTGTCTGCTGGATTAATGACCTTTGCGGGTTTTCCCAGAGCAAGGACGGCTGGAAGGCTAGGGAGTGGCGGTTTCTGAGACATGGGCCACGGGGTCCAGACAAGTCAAGAATAGAAGGCAGCAGACAGAAGATGGACACCTGGACAAACAGAAGAGCCAAGGACTGAAGTTCTGGCGAGGTCAAGAGGCCTATGGCCCAAAGCAGTCAGGAGGTTAGAGGACCTGGCACAGAGGACAGTGGAGACCCGATCCGGGAGGGATTCTTACCGACAAGTTCCAGAATACTTGCTCAGAGCAGCGGTAAGACTCGGGGCACAGAGAAAAAACCAAACAGGCTTGTATACAGTAGAGGCTGGCCTCTGACAGTAAGAAAGACCAGAGATTCCAAACTAACCGGGTGGTCAGACAGCTTTGAGACCAACGGTGTTCCCCCCACGGGGCGGCCCTTCACAGCGCGTGCTGACACAGTAAAGGTTCTGAAGGATCCTGCGCTGAACGCACTCACAATGCAACCATTTCTTCAAGCAGCTCCGATGACCCCACTGTTCAGATGTCCCCTATGGGAAGGGGTCTACACCAGCCTCAGTCAGTTACCCAGGTACCTCCTTAACTTTCTTTACATTATTCCAAAATTCTAAAATATAGACAAATGAAAAGAATAATTTTGCCTCCTTTTCAAGAGTAAAGAAATGTAATGCTTAATAGTTCACAATCACCCCCGGCTAAACACTACTCTAAGCAGCATTTTAGAATGATCTCTAAGTAATTAAAAATTAAACATCAATGAACAGGGTAATAGCGAAATTTGTAGGTTTCATACCTCTACTTTTTCTTGCTCTTCCAGTGCTAAAAATACAGCTGCTCGGAGTTCGGCCTTTTTTTAAAGAGGGCAAAGGAACAAAACTGGGTTCAAGGCAATTTTCATGGCAAGAGGCGCTACGAGGGAAGTTCCACGGGCACCATCCCCACCGTCTAAAAGCCAAAAACGCGAAAGCGAACGAGACGGCAGCGCCTGGCGGGCGGGCCCAGGGTCTGGAAACGCCGCGACGCCGCCAACTCCTTCTGGAGCCGCCGGAGACGCCCCCTCGGGGTGACCCCCCGCACCTGCGGGGGACCGCGACCACCTGCACCGTGGGGGCGGCCTCCGCGCCCCGCGCCACCCGGGGCTCCCCGCGCCGACGGCCTAGAGCTCGCCCGCCCGGCCCGCAGGGAGCCGCCCCCCACCCCGCGGCCCGGACGCCGCCCGCGCGGCCGGCCCCGCGCGCCCCGCGCCCTTTTGTGACGCCCGCACAGGCCCTGCGACCCGCAGGCGCGGCCGGCATCCCCGCGGCCAGGCCCGGCCCGGCCCGGCCCACCTTGATTCGGTTCAGGACCCCGCTGTTCTCCAGCGTCTGCACCAGCAGGTCTCGCAGCTCCGTGTCCTCCTCCGGCACCACCGCGGCCGCCGTCGCCGCCATCTTGCTTCTCCAAGACAACCGCCCAAGCCGCGCCAACGGCCAACGGCCGCCGCAGATTCCCCTCGGCGCGCGGCGACGCGGCCGAGGCCACGCCCCCCGCGCCGGCGCAAGCCCGCCCTCACGTCGGGGGCGGGGCCTCGGGCGTTGGCGGGCGGGGCCTCGGGGCGGGGCGGGGCCCTGGCTGCCCAGTGGGCCGCTGGCAGACGCGGGAGCCTTGAGGGACGCGGTGCCGGTGGCGACGCAGCGCGGTGTTGCGTCGTTCTTATCGCAGCGCTACACCGTAGGCGTAAGTAAGCGGTGCGCTTCGAAGCTTGGGTGCGTTCCCATCCGACCGAAGGGACGCCCGGGCGTGCTCGGCCCCGGGCGCGGCGGGGCGGGTGCAGGGTTGGTGTCCGAGGCGCCGGAGCCCGTCCGGGTGCGCGCGTGCAGGCTGCTGCCGCGGACACACTGCGGCTGCGCGAGTCCTGGTGCGCGCCTCGCCTCCGCCGTGGGGCCGGACTGTGCACACGCATGCGGCTCGGCGTGTGTGCACGTGCGCACATGCATGCATGTATGGAAATGTGCCTTCAAGAGAGAGCCTGTGCAAACGTGCGTGTGTGTGCACACGCTCACCGACAGAGAGCGTACGCGGGTGCACGTGCACGTGCGCGCACTCCCTGACAGCCTGTACTCACGTGCATGTGTGTGTGCACATGCTCACCGAGAGAGCCAGGACCTACATGCGTACGTGTATGTGCACGCGCTCACGCGCGCGCGCATGCTCACAGAGAGAGAGAGAGAGAGCAGGCGCATGCACCGGATATACGAGAAGGAGGTCCTGGGAGACTTACTCTTCAGTATCAATTATAGAAAGTATTGTCAGTTACAGCTCTCGAGAGAAGAGTGGTCAACAGGAAAGAGTCCTCAATCACAGGCCCCAACAAGGAAAACTGCGCAGCATTGCCCGGAAAAAATAAGCCACTGGTGCAGTTCGGCCAGCGAGAAATCACCACCACCCGGAACTCCTGCTTTTCTCCAAAGGACTTTGGTTCAAAACAACCCCTCCCAATTCCCTCCTTCTCCACAAAATGACGTTCGTCTCCTTTGTTTGAAGGACTTACTGTGGGTGTGCCATAGTTTGCATGTCCTAAATTCCAATTCTCTGTCATTCCCAAATAAACCCATTTTTGCTGGTAAAATAACTGCCTTCTATTTTTTTACTTTTTATTTTGTTTTGTTTTTAATGTTTTATCTGTGTCTTGAGAGAGTGTGTGCCAGCAGAGGAGGGGCAGAGAGAGAGAAGAACAGAAGGTCTGAAGCAGCTCGGCCCTAACAGGCTGACAGCAGCCAGCCCAAGGCAGGGCTCCAGTTCAGGAGCAGGGAGATCTTGACCTGAGCCAAAGTCGGACACAACCGACTGAGCGGCCGGGCGCCCCTGTGACTTCTTATTTTTTTTTAATATTTTTATTATTTATTTGTAGGAGAGAGAGAGAGACAGCATGAGCAGGGGAGGGTCAGAGAGAGAGGGAGACACAGACTCTGAAACAGGCTCCAGGCTCTGAGCTGGCAGTCAGCACAGAGCCCGACGTGGGGCTCGAACCCACGAACCGCGAGATCATGACCTAAGCGAAAGTCGGACGCTTAACCGACTAAGCCACCCAGGCACCCCACTGACTTCTATTTTTGAGGTTAACAATACATGTGTGTATGTGTGAGAATGTGCAGGTGCACAGTGAGAAAGAGAGTGGACATTTACACCGGGGTACAGTGCGGTTTACATGAACACTCAACATGCTGTGCTTCTCTTTACACTCTGCATGTTTCAATAGTTTTACGATAATGTGTCGGGAAGGTGAGGAATCCAGAAGTACAAGGAAACTGTAAGAAAGAATGCAGATTCCAGAACCCCACCCTGGGACCCTCACTGCTTCCGCAGTAGTGTCTAGGAATCTTTCGCACAAGTAGCCCAGGTGACTGTAATGCCCGTGGATGGTCTGAAGATTATCAAGGGATACAAATGGTACATGTGAAGCAGGAAGTAGAATTGGAGAGTTCCCGCCCCGCCCACCTCGTCTCCCCACTAGCAGCATCTATTAAAACTGGTACGTAGAAATGTCATGTACACACGTACTTCTCCCCTTCCCTAATTTGCATCCTATGCTTATTTTTTAATTTCCCAATTTCACTTTATAAATCCTGATCAACTTGTGATATTTTGTACATATAGATTCTACCTCATTCTTTAACTCCCGCATAGCATTCTGTGTAATGGTGCTCCAAATGCTAGTTCTCTGTCATTACACAGGGTTTGTTTGAATTTGTTCTGTTTACTGTGGAAGTAATGGCTACTGATGACTAAAAATCCAAACAAAATACACTTGTCATGATGAGCACAGGGTGATGTATGGAAGTGCTGAATCACTATATTGTATACCTGAAACTAATATCACACTGTATGTTAACCAACAGGAACTAAAAAAAATTTTTAAACAAAATACAATTGTCCTAACACTGAGGTTAGTCATCATTAAGTATTTATAAAATATTTTTGAGAAATCTACCAAAAAATCCAAACAAAATGAGAAAATATTAAAAGTAAAAGTGTCCACACCTTTCCTGCGCACCTACCCACCACCCAGTACCACACCCTAGACCCAACCACCATAAAGTTTGTTTTTAGTTCCTCTGGTTCTTTTTAGTGTAAGTCTAAATGCTGTGCACTTACATCTTGACTCAACCAGGAATGGTGCCTTCCAAAGAATAAAAATGTATCTTCCAACTCCTAATTCTTAAAATTATGTTACTTTTAATTTTACTGGGGGGGGGGGCTTTATGACTCTAAATTCTCTACCTAAATCATCATTTCTCCACGTCACACATGCCTCACTCTCTCCTTGCGTGGGAGATGGAGAAGTGAGTGCCTCGCCCGACCCCTCCCCCATCACCGTGCCTGATGTTGTCAGTTTGATTCTTATTTTTATACTGTCAGGAATTTACATTCTTCCCCTAATTACATCTTTCAAACTTTGTAGGTTGACTGGAAAGCCATCCGTGCCTTCACCGTGCTGGGGGCAGCGGACCTGTGAGGCAGAGCCCACCTGCCTTTGAAATGAGCCTTGCCCTGCACCCTGGGCCAACCTCCAACGGCCAGCACCCACCAGGGCTTGCTCTGCCCACTTGGGGAAGGACTCCAGTGCCAGGGAAACACTCCCTCCTGAGAGCACCTCAACTCCTGGCCGTAAGTGGGTAAGGACCCCCAACTAGCTCCCCAGTGAGGGAGGGGAGGGCGGTTCTCCGCCAGCCTCCGCGCTTCAGACCTGAGCTCCAGTTAACACAGCCTTTTCCGGCCCCCAAGCTGCCTCGGCCCATTATCCGCACCCCCCCCCCCCCCCCCCCCCCCCGCTGTTTCCCAGGATCCGATCCGGATAAACTGTTCACACTCAGCTCTTTGCCTTAGGGTGTGCTTCCAGGGCACGCCAACCAACTGCCCCAGACACGTGTGAAGCAGGTCCTCGGGATGGGGCTCCGGAACTGGATGGCTCACCAGCCAAATGGCAGGGAGCAGCCGTTGCTGGTGGGACTGGGGTGGCCTCCGCACTGGCGGGCGGTGCGGACCGTGGAAGGGCCCCGGCTTGGGCCACCTCTCTAGCACTGGAGATGGGGCGGTGGTAATTTTAAAGATTCTGGAGTCAGAGCACTTTTTTAATGATATCAAAGTGCAGAAGGAAGAATATGACAGGTTCAAGCCAGCCAACTCTTGGGCCAGGGCGCGGTGTAAAACACCGCTCCCCGGAGCCAGAGCCTCCCACGACTTCACACCCGCAGCTTGAAATCCACTACAAGAGGCGACTACGGAGATCAGCAAATGCTGTGAAGTTGGGCTTGTTATTTCAACGGAGAGCCAGTTATTAAACATTTACTAGCCCATCTTTGCATTCGCTATGCTTCCCGGACCTGAGAGTTTATGCTGTTTTTTCATCCTCAAAGCCTCTAGACCTCTCTAAGCTTCAGACCCCTCGGTTGCGAAGCATTAACTGATCCCACAGAGTTTTGTAATATAAATAAGACTATTTGTTGGAAATCACACCTATTTCCTGATATCGAGAAAGGATCTGTTGAGAAGTTGGTTTCTGAGATCGGCCTTAAGAACAATTAAATCAGAAATAAAGGTCATCCCAGACGAAAAGGTTAACATGGGGGGGGGCGGGTATGGCCCTTGTGGGCAAACGTGGGATCTGATCTGTCAGAAGCAGGACGTGAGACAAAAACGGGAGCCAGTAACCTGGGTCTGCAAACAATGGAAGGAAATGTCTGTAGACTTCAGGCAGGGGAGGGTCGAGCTGTGGGGGGGCGGGAGTGGGGAGTGCAAGCGAAGTTAGTGCCTGTGGCTGAAGCGGGAGGGGTTGGTGTGGGCAGATGGCGGGCGTGCTATCTGGGGCGGGAGAGTGTGGTGTCTGATGAATACCTGGGCTTGGCTCTGCAGAGGCAGCTGGGAGACCACCTGTCAGCGCCAGAACGGAACCCTGGCTGTGGAAGGTGCTAGAGAAACCAGATCCAGTCCCTTCAGTCGGGAGCTGGCTGCTGGCCGTCCAGGCATCCAGACAAATGGCAGTTCTTGCGGCCCCTGGGGAGACTCAGATGAGGTCTCTGCGAGGTGGAGGGGGGGCAGCTCGCCAGCCTCGTGCAGGAGACGGCCCTCAAGCGGAGGCACAGACACGACTGTGCCAGGAGGTTTGCAGGTGGCTGAAGAAGAGAGGGGCACCCAGATGGGTGGAGCCAAACCGACCAGGATGCCAGGGCCCGGAGTGCAGGGCAGTGTCAGGGAGGGGAGCAGGGGCGAAGAAGCCATCGGGTCACCAAGGGCTTCATCCACCGCAACAGGGGCTCGACTTGCAGAGAGAGAGGGAGACACAGAATCCGAAGCAGCTCCAGGCTCTGAGCTGTCGGCTCAGATCCAGACATGGGGCTTGAACCCACAAACTGTGAGATCGTGAGCTGAGCAGAAGTCGGACACTTAACTCCTGAGCCACCCGGGCACTCCCATGGATTCAGCTTCTATCTTAAGGCTACGAATGGTGCGTAGAACATAGTTTTAACAGGAATGAGGCACTATTCCCTTGGGATTTCTGAAAGCGCCAGAGAAACCGGAAGTGGGTGGGTGGTTGTAGGGACCTGGGGGCAGGACCCGGCCCAGCAGCCCAGAGGGCATTAGGAGGGGCCTGGACTCCACCCACTGGGCGTCAGGCATTCTAAATAAGCTTTGCCCAAATTTGCTGTGTAAATGCTATCTTTCACTGGCTCTTAAGGAGGAAAACTCACTAATTTCTTATGGGATAGCTCAAAATTCCTTAAACATGTTGCCACATGCCATGTAATAAAAGAACTAATAAAATTAAAGTATTATAACTTAAAACAAGAGACAGTCAGCCAGAGACTACAAGATATTTCACCCAGTACAGCTTCTAGAAGGAGGTCTGTTCAAACCCACACATTTCTTTTGTGAGACCGTCATGGTTAGCACGGTGGTGTGTATACAGAGGGTCTTCAATAGGAAGTCGTCATTTACTGTCCGCAGTGAGCCATTATCAGGCTCCATACACGAAATTGGTGAACTGTCTGCACAATAACCATGGACACTTATATTCTATTATTCTATTATTTTATAGCGTCGTTACTATGACTCGCGCACCCCAGCCGGGACTCAGAAGGTGTATCTAAGATCAGATCCACTCAGAAGGTGAAGGAACGAAATGGTGTGGCCCATTTCCTGCCACAAGTTGGCATACTGAAGTTAGGCGAAGAGGAGGGGGGCTTTGCCCAATACCCTGGCCGGTCAGTAGCTGGACATCACGGGAGCTACATGAACTTGCTAAGGAATGAGCAGGAACGCACCCCAGCCAGAGGACAGTGCGCTCTGCGTGGGGCAGGGGCTCAGTGAGGAGACAGAAATAAATGAGGGAGGAAGGGGGAGGGGGAGGGGGAGGGAGGGAGGAGGGAAGAGAAGGGAAGGTGGAGGGGGGAGGGAGAGAGGGGAGGGAGGAATGGGGCAGGGAGGAAGGGGTGAGGGAAGAGGAGGCAGGGAGGACAGAAAGGGGTGGGGGAGGGGAGAGGGAAGGGAGTGGAGGGGGAGGGGAGGGAGGGGAAGAGAGAAAGGGGAGGAGGAGGGGAGGGGAGGGAGGAAGTGGAGAACTGAAGCCCCGGAGGGGGAGGGGAACTGCTCTGACCAGCCCAGGGACCAGGAGAAGGGGCATTTTATGTGGCCTTTTCTGGGTCTGCATCTAGAGTTCCTCTTTCAGCTAAACCGCAGCTCTCCATTTTGTTTCTTTTAGCAGCTTTAGAAGATAACTTTCTAAGTCACTGGGGTATCCTTTCAATGACTGCTTTGTCACAGGAGAAAGGGCCCTCCTCCCTTACTCTGGGAGAGCAGTTGACAAGGAGTCTCCCTAGAATGCGTGTGATTTTCCTATGGCGAAGCCCATGTACTAGAAGCTCTGTGCAAAGACTCGCATTTCCTTGAGCACCTTGAGGCCGAAGATACCACTATCTGCACAATTGTAAACCTGAGGTTGTTAATACTGTTGCTTAAAATGTATTTAGTAATTGAAGGGAAACATACTACTGAAGTCAAAGAAATGCCCCAAAGAGGCTTTACATTAAGGAGGAAGAAACGGAAAATGATTCGCTGATTGTCTTGGGAGGTAAGAGAGCTAATAATTTGTTAATTTTCATTTCTCACCAAAGCTGATGGGTTAAAGGTTAAAATATTTATTTTTTTAAATGTTTTACTTATTTTTGAGAAAGAGACAGAGCACAAGCAGGGGAGGGGCAGAGAGAGAGGGAGACAGAATCCGAAGCAGCTCCAGGCTCAGAGCTGTCAGCTCAGAGCCCCACCCAGGGCTCAGACTCACTAGCCTTAAGATCATGATCTGAACCAAGGTCAGACGCTTAAGGGACTGAGCCACCCACGCGCCCCTAAGTTAAACAACACTTAAAAGGAAACAATGAAAAAGGTGCCCCTGAACATGTTACTGACGTGTGCTTTCCGTCTAGCTCCTCCTCGTGCTCAGGAATTCAGCCTCTGCGTTTCGTTTCGTCGGAGAACACTGTGAAAGAGAAACACACAACTGCACGGCTTGTCATTTCGTTTTATCCAAGCTCTTCGACAAGTCACTCTTTTTCACAGCTTTATTGAGGAATAATTCACAGTTCATGCATTCGTTCATTTAAAGTGTACAATTCAGTGATTTTAGCATATTTACAGAAGTCTGCAACATCGCCATATTCTAGTTTTCAAACTTTTCTGTCTTTCCTGCAAGAAATCCCATACCCACTAGCAGTCACGAAAGCCCGAGGCAGCCACCAGTATACTTGAGGCCTCTGTAATTTGCCTATTCTGATCTATTTCTGTAAATGGGATCGTTAACCATGTGGGTTCCTGGGACTGGCCTCTTTCAGTTAGCATAAAGTTTTCAAGGATCATCAATGTTGTAGCAGGTGTCTGACTTTGTTTCTTAGTAACAATGAATGCAATACTGTTACTACGGAGTAATAGTCCATTGTATCGATACATTTATTTATGTATCTGTTCATAGACTGATGGACACTTAGACTGTTTTCCAGCTTGGGTTATCATGTATAAGGCTGCTTCAACACACAGGTCAAGTTCTTGTGTGAATATATATTTATTCAGTGTAGCTATGATTGACACCTAAAAATAAAGACAACTTGCTTTAAAAGAAAAGAAGGGTCTAGACTCAGGCTGCAGAAATGAACAGGCACAGAAGATGGTCTGAGAGACAGGAATGAGCCACAAAAGCAGACTCTGTACCTAGATTCCGGAGGTTACCATAGGGAAATTCCTTCAAACACCCCACCTACATGTTCTTGGCATAGAAAGTTCCTGATTCTTTAGCATTACAAAATTGACCGTGTATACAGCACATGGAGTAGTAATTGAGTCTGTACTCAGGCACGTGGGTGCCCCCTCTCTTGAGGTTACCCACCCTGTGCTTGTGAGGATCAGGAGAGTTTAGACAGAAGTGGAGAATGAATAAGGTTCTCAGTGGCCTAAGGGTTTCTACAAATGGTTTAGAGACTGCGCCAAAGACAGTGACATGCTGCTGAAAGAGAACTCTGTGCCCCCCCCACCCCGGTCCCCATGTTGGGAGTGTTCATCACACCTCATGAAAATACTTGGTTCATGATTTCATAGTTTTTTTTTTTTATATTTTTATTTATTTCTAGGAGAGAGAGAGACAGCGCGAGCAGGGGAGGGTCAGAGAGAGAGGGAGATACAGACTCTGAAACAGGCTCCAGGCTCCGAGCTGTCAGCACAGAGCCCGACGCGGGGCTCGAACCCACGAACCGCGAGATCATGACCTAAGTGAAAGTTGGACGCTTAACCGACTAAGCCACCCAGGCGCCCCACTTGGTTCATGATTTCAATAAGGACTTACTGATAACAGGTTGTGTAGTGGTTAAAAGCATGGAGTTTTTAAAAAAAATTTTTATGTTTTTTTATTTATATCTGAGACAGAGACAGTGCAAGCAGCGGAGGGTCGGAGAGAGAGGGAGACACAGAATCTGAAACAGGTTCCAGACTCTGAGCTGTCAGCACAGAGCCTGAGGCGGGGCTCGAACCCATGAACCGTGAGATCATGACCTGAGCCGAAACCGGATGCTTAACTGACTGAGCCACCCAGGCGCCCCAAAAGCATGGACTTTTGAACCACCTTGCACGGATTCAAATCCACTTCCTAAGTGTGTTGACTGTAGCAAGTTCCTTAACCTCTCTGTGCCTTGGTTTCCGTTTGTAGGTGGGGTAAAAGTCTCTGTGTGTGTGAATACATACAGTTCAAAGGATTGCTGGGTAGCTTGAATGTCTGAAACACAGAAAGCACTAGAATATTATTATTCTATTATTGGTTCCTTCGTATTCACAGCCTCATTTCATGTTCTCCTTGGTACTCTGAGCTGGTTTTGTTTTTTGAAAAACTCCGTTTTACAGACGAGGCAGCTCACGCTCAGAGAAGTTTGGCGGTTCACCCACAGACACTGGCTTTCTGGTTCCCATAATGTTTTGTGCGAATATTCTTTCCAATACTTATATGACGTAACTGAATTACATAAAACAGAACAGGGTGACTGACTGAAGGCAGTAGGGAATGCAAGAGCTAGGAAGGAGGATTCTGCCGCCCCAAAGTCAGAGTCGAAGCCACCAGAGGGCAGTGTGGACCAGGACAAAGGGCAGCGGTCGGTCCCCTTTCTCAGCTTTTTTCACTAACTGCCCAAAGACGGGACAGGATAGCTGATGGCCACTGCTGGTATCAGGTAATGAACCCTCCATTTAACTGGTGCCTTTAAATTAGATAAACTTCAATACTGAGAACCATGCGAAAGTGCTTCTCTTCTTTCCACTACTCCTGAGTATTTATTTAGCTTTACAATGCATAGCCCTCTTTATGAAAAATTTTTTTTAGATTTAAAAGAAAATTTTTAATCTCCACACCCAGTGTGGAGCTCAAATTCACAACCCCGAGATCAAGAGTCACACACACCACTGAGTGAGCCAACCAGATGCCTCTCCTCTTTATGAACTTACGTATTTTGTTGCTAAGTGCATGTCTACCCAGAAGCCAAAGCTTCGGTACCACATCAGTGTGTCAAGGCACATACACCTTCTCTGGGCTTCGGAAGCTGTGCACGACTCAGACTTGAAGAGCTGGGATTTTTAAAAATCACTTTGAATCGCTACCACTTTTGATTCGCTATGTTCAGCCATCGGTTAAATAGCTTTGACACTGAAGCTCAGAATTTGAGCAAGGTATCAGGGCTAAAATAAGTGAATTCAACCCATTAGATGCCAGTACTATTTTAATTCCAAACTGGATGCAAATTTATTCTCTGTGATGTGAATGAAATAGAAAATTAGGCTCATTCAATTGGCGAGTCAAAAAAATACTCAAGAAGATTAAAATACACGTGAAACACAAAGATCAGGATATATCCACTGAAATAACTTTTTAGCCTCCTAAAATGTTTTTTGTATATATTTGTATATGTACATATATGAAAGGGAAAGACAGGATAAAATAGACAGAGAGGAGGGCGCCTGGGTGGATCAGTCGGTTAAGCAATCCGACTTTGGCTCAGGTCATGATCTCACGGTTTGTGTGTTCAAGCCCCGCATCAGGCTCTCTGCTGACAGCTCAGAGCCTGGAGCCTGTCTTTGGATTCTGTATCTCCCTCTCTCTGACCCTCCCCTGCTCTCTCTCTCTCTCTCTCTCTCTCTCAAAAATTAAAAAAAAAGTAGGCAGAGAGGGAAATATTAGGACCTGAGTGGGGGGAAAAACACAAATTTGGAAACAATGCTGGGAGCATCCGACCACAGCAAACCCACTCGGGGTAAGGTTCCTCCGAAGAATGTAACAGACTCCAACTACTCCCCATCAGGTTCCCTCAGGAATTTGACTAAAGACCTAACTAAAAATAAGAAGTAGACCATAAACCGTACGACCCACAAGGAATGATATGGCCATAGACCAGCCCTCGTACAACGGAGACGAGCCCATCAGGAATGGACAACCCAGCACCCAGCGCCACCCAGCCAGTCAGGGTGGGCCCTGAGAAGGGATGGGGGAAGCGAGGGGGGAGGGCTGACCGGAAGCTTATAAAACAAGGAGCCTTGCCTACAGTCCTCCGGTGTTGACTTTCAAATGCCCCTCTCTGTAAAGAGAGCTTTCCTACTATTCTTCCTTTCTGATCTTACACTAATGAGCTTTTGTCTGCTGCTCATTCTGTGTCCACCTCTTCATCCTTCGAAATGGCGAGACAATGAAACCAGGTATTGAAGAAACCCTGCAACACGTATAACAAACTCCTCATTTTGCTTTTGGCCTGTGTCTTAAATTTGCACTTGCCCGATGACTATTGAGATCACATGTCTTTTCATCCGCTTATTAGCTCTACACCTTTACTCTTCTGGGATTCTTGTTTGCCCATTTTCGCATAGGAGGTGTTTTGCTTACTGATTTCTAGAAGTTCTTTGTATATGACGATACCAACCCTTTGTTAGTAGTGTGTGTTGCAGATTATGGCTTACCTCTTCAGTTTCTTTGTGTTCTCAGAAAATTTAAATTTTCACGTAGTTATGTTTACCATCTTTTTATGGTTACTACTTTTGGGGCTTTGTTTTTTAAAACTCCTATGTAACCCAAGATTAGAAATCTGTTATTCACTGCGTTCTTCTAAAAGTTTTAAGGTTTTGCATCTCATGTTTAAATCCTTCATCTCCCTGAAATTGATTTTTGGGTTTGGAGTGCAGGAGGGATCAACTTTCACTTTTCCACATACATGACCAATTATCGCAGCATTATTTATTTTGAAGATGCCCTTCTTTATCTGTTTACCTGCAATGCTGTCTCAAACATAAGTCACCTTTCTGTACATGAGTTCTTCCCTGAAATCTCCACTCTGTTCCGTTGGTATGTTGGCCTTTCCCCACCCCGGTAACACAGGTGAGTTATCATAACTGTGTAATGTTTTGGTGTATGATAGGACACTCTTCCACTTTCTTTTTCTTTTTCAGGAATGCTGTGGCTCTCCTTGGGCCTTTTTTACTCACCCAGGTAGGATGTTAAATTAGCTTATCAATTTCCTTGAAAACACGTATTGGATTTTGACTGGGTCTCGGTGTTAACCTTAAAAAATAAAACTGTCATTCTACTAAGCAAAAATGAAGTTGATTCAGGAATAGCAGAGAATTACAATCCAGGACAACCAAGCTATGGCAAAACCGCATGCAGGTCCAGAGAAGGAAGATGAGTTTTCCGATGTCATTGAGGAAACGGGAGGAGGAGGGGATGTTGTAAACAAAAAGTGGATTGGGGTAAATTGGGAGCTCAAAGCATGGAGGCTTCTCATTGGCTGAGCTCTGACTGCCTCTCATTGGCTGGGCAGTTGCTAGGGGGTGGAGAAAGGTTTTCTTCCTCTGCTGGGACAATAAATTAGTAGCTAAGGAGGTGTGGCCTTGGAGGGTGGTCTGCAAGTGATGACAAGCGCTTGGCCTGAGAGCGCCCCCTACTGGCCTAAGCGAAGTTTCCTTTCTTTAATTTTCACCGGTGGTGAGGCAACACAGAAGAGACAGCAGAAAGATAAAATTAGAAAAAACACCGTAAATAAGTCTTCCCTTCCGCATGTTCAGGAAAACTAGTGTCGCACAAAGATGCCTAACAGAGAAGGATGAAGGTGGAATCGCGGACAGAGTCGTTATAAGAAAACAAGAGGATAAAAAATAATCCTGTAGGCATTAAATCGCTCCAGAAAGTCATGCTACCGAACAGAGGAACGCTGTGATACTTTAAAATAACTTTAACTCCAGGGGCGCCTGGGTGACTCCGTCGGTTGAGCGTCCGACTTCAGCTCAGGTCATGACTTCACGGTTCGTGGGTTCGAGCCCCGCGTCGGGCTCTGTGCTGACAGCTCGGAGCCTGGAGCTGCTTCCGATTCTGTGTCTCCCTCTCTCCCTGCCCCTCCCCCACTCACGCCGTCTCTCTCTCTCTCTCTCTCGGTCTCTCAAAAATAAACATCAAATTTTAAAAAATAATTTTGAAAGGATAATAAAAGAAATGAATATTTTAAATATTAGACACAAAGTGTGCCCCACTTTTATCTCTGCATATGAATTTTTTTATCTTTCTTTAAAAGTATTCTTAATTAGGTGAAAACATTGTATCAAGTGAAATAGTGTCAGTTACACCTTTCAATATGCTTCTTGTGTTGAATATGTATTGTAATTTTCACGTGGCAAAGTCCCTGACTTCCAAATGTCATAACACAGAGACTAAATTACAGTTAATTAACGTGTTACTCTGATAGACAATCAGCCACTTCATGCAGCTTGAAAGATTTTAAAGTGGAGGGTGGATTTACCATTTTTTGGTATACTTTATCCTGCTTTGGGTCAGAATTCTATGCCTGATTTTCAGTCAGTAAACAAGTCTGATCCCTTCATGTGCTCAACATTCTAGAACACCTAAAATGTGTGACTGTACTTGGGTGGACATGAAGAAAGCAGAAAATACAGTTTTGTGTGTCTAGAGTTTAATTTTTTAAACATTATATTCCTATTTGCAAAGGTTGCACGGGGGCACCTGGGTGGCTCAGTCAGTTGAGCCTCCGACTTCGGCTCAGGTCATGATCTCACGGTTCGTGGGATTGAGCCCCGCGTCGGGCTCTGTGCTGACAGCTCAGAGCCTGGAGCCTGTTTCAGATTCTGTGTCTCCCTCTCTCTCTGCCACTCCCATGTTCACTGTCTCTCTCTCTCTCTCTCTAAGAAATAATTAAAAATAAAAAAGAAGGAAAAAAAGGTAGCATGTGATCATTATCAAACATGTGAAAATAAAATAAACACAAGGAAAAAGTTTTCAGGGTTTTCTCTAGCTTTTTCTCAATTTATAGACATTATATACACGTATACATATTTATATCAGCTACTCAGGACAAAACAAGCATTTCTTTGAAAGTTTTTTGTTGGGAGCCATTCTGAGCCCACCAGTCGAGAAAACAACTGGTGAGGTTAAAGCAAGTCTGCACGGTCTCTTGCCAATCAGATGATGACCGATATCCCCCCACTCAGTTATTTCTGCCTGAGCACTGACCCCTAAGGTACCTTGTTGATCAATATGGGGAGTGACTTGTCCCCTTATTCTGGCCCTGGTATGATGATTGCACCTTGTGAAGGAACTTATTGTGGGAACTTCTTCTTTAAATTATGGGAACAAACATAGTGTCTCAAGAAGGTCCTGTTTCCCTCCATACTTTCCCTTGACCTATAAACAGGCTAATGACCCTTACTCATAAAAGATTGACTTTTACATGTACAATTCTGTTTCTACCATCGTGTTAGTCCAGGATGTTCATACAGCTCAACGTGTAAATCAACTAACCAAAAATGTCTCTCATGCCCTAGATATTCAAGAAATCATAAAAGTAGACACAAAGGTAAATGCCCTCAAAGAGGCTATTCTATGTATTGGAAATGAACTAAACTCTTTAAAGGTATGGTTGGCTCTCCGGTGCCATAAAGAATATAACTGGAAAATCAAGTCTTGCCCGGAGACAAAGAGCGTAACTTAGAGAGAAGGAACAGATAAGGGCAGAAGATAAGTTAGTACATACACCTTTGCTCACTGATGGTGTATAGCAGCCCCTTCCCTAAGGCCTACATTCCACAAACACCTTCCCTTACCCTGGCAGCTGTGATGAGGATGGATAAGAGTATCTACAAACCTATGACTTAATCTTAGCGTTATTAAAATGTGAACACCTTGTTATTTTCTTAGCTACTCAACCTCACTATAATTGGGGCAGTTCTGCAAGAAGACTTCTGTAAAACTGTTTCTGTACATTTTCCAAAAACATCTTATCACAAAGAGCTATCCATTGTAAACATTCCATTTCCTGATGCCTTGTTAACTTTTGACCTATAAATAAAGACACCAAAACCCACAGGACGGAGATGCCTGCCTGGTGAAGAGAAAGAATCTCAGGGCTCTCTCACTCTCCCTCTCGCCGACACCGTCCCTCCTTCAGGGACCCCTGGGCCTGCTGGAGCCGGCCTCCGACAGTTTTTATTTAAATTCCAGTTGTTAACATGCAGTATAACATTAGTTTCAGGTGTGCAATACTCCTGTGTGACAGCCGGTGCTCGTGACAGCGAGCACACTCCTTAATCCCCGTCACCTGTTATAACCGCCATCCCACCCACCTCCCCTCTGGTGACCATCACTTCGTTCTCGTAGTTAAAAGTCTGTTTCCGGGTTTGCCTTTCTCTTCCTTAAATTCCACATATGAACAAAATCATATGCTATTTGTCTTTCTCTGACTGACTTATTTTGCATAGCACGATACACTTCAGCTCCATCCACGTCATTGTAGATGACAAGCTTTCATTCTTTTTTATGGCTGAGAACATTCCATTGTGTACACACCACACCATCTTCCTCCAGTCCTCAGTTGATGGACACGGGCCGCCTCCAAAGTTTGGCCATTGCAAACACCACTGCTACGAACATTCTTAATGAAAGGAAGTCCAGTATGTCTCATAGAGCCAGTCAATCCTGTGCCCATCACATAAATCTATATTTTAACTGTGTGTTAGAGTCATTTCTTATCTCTCTACAGCAGGGATAATGGCTTGAATTTTGGACTAGAAGGAACTAAAACTAATAGTAATACAGCAATGCTGGGAATATTTTATGCGTTTTCAATTATATCCAGTAACTTTCTCATCTTTAACATACAGCATGTGAGCCAGTATATACTGAACCGACCTCATATATTCAACATTTATTGTGTGGGGTAACAAGTCACAGAAGAGTTATGTGGTCAAGAGTCCTACAAATGGTAATTGGCCACTTTTGGTGGGAACGGTGGGAAGGAAGACAGCTGTTCATTAGAATGTTCTCCCATACTGACTGATGAATAAGGACAGTCTTACCTAAGAATATTTTAATCTTAAGCAATGAAATTAACTATAGAGGTCGATCTCTAAATAGGACATACCCTCCTGTGTTCTTATCACATTCTTTTCTGTTACATTTCAAGAAACGTCTAATTCAGTTTGGAAGTCAGGTCAGTCCTCACGTGTGTGTGCACACATATGCAATCATGTCTGCTGACAGCATCCAAACTTCTGTCCATATCCACTCCTAAAGAAGTCGCTCACTTTGATGTTTATATTTTGAGAGACAGTGCGAGTGAAGGAGGTGCAAAGAGAGAGGGAGACACAGAATCTGAAGCAGCCTCCAGGCTCTGAGCTGTCAGCACAGAACCTGATGTGGGGCTTGAACTCATGAGCTGTGAGATCATGACCTGAGCTGAAGTTGGCCACTTAACCCACTGAGCCCCCCAGGGTGCCCCTGAAGTCGCTCACTTGGAAAGAGCAGCTTTCCATAAGCTTCAGTGCCTCATTACATTACCGAATTATGTAAGTTACATAAAATGGATACAAATCATAATTTGCAGACAGCCCAGCGCTGCAGCCCTGTCTGTTGGTCAAGGCCATACCCCAGAGCTGCTCTTGCGTCTTAGCACAGCCAAACAGAAGTAGAAAGGAAGGTGGTGAACACGTCAAAGGAAAAGCACAGTGAATGTCACCTTGCACCTGTCAGAAGGGCTGTTACCCAAGGACCAGACACAACGCGTGTGAGCGTGAGGAGTGTGAGGGCGTGGAGAGGATGCGGAGAGTAGGAAGCCGTCTACACTGCAGGTGGGAAGGCAAACCGGTGCAGCCACCAGCGAGGACCGAGCAGAGGCTCCTCCGGGCCCCCTGCCACGCTGGGAGGAGCCGCCGGGGAGGAGAGGCTCGAGGCACATGGAGGGCTCTCTGGCGGCAGGCCCGGCCCAGGGGGTGGGGGGTGGGGGGGGGGAAGCTGGGAAGCGCACCCTCCACTGCAGCCGCCTCGGGGTGCAGCCATGGGAACACATTGAAACCGGCTTGAGTCTCCCCCGCCGGAGGCCTCGAATACCAATAGGGCCTCAAATACCATTGGGACAGCCGTCCCGTATGGGCCTTTCCACCCAGCCTGTGGGCGTGATCAAATCCTCGTTGTTCATGCTGCAAAACGTGGGGTCGCTGCCTCCCCAGCAAAGTAACAGAAGCGCCCAGACGTGGTTCTGAGCCCGGAGAGAGAACAGAGCCGAGGGGCAGATCTCGGGCAGAACTGGCATGTGTGTGAAGGCCACGGTGTTGGCCAGGGCGTTAGGCCCACGCGGAGATGTCGGCCTCGGGAGCCAGGGGTGCCTGTTACGGAGGCCATCTCTTCCTTCTAACTTGCAGGTACCCAGGACTTTTCCGTGCATGGCGTCATTGGCTCATACCCACAGGTCAGTGAGCCCCCAAGGCAGGCTGCAGGCAGGGACCGCACCCCTGGACTAAGCCGCCAGGGCCCAGGAGCCCAAGGCTAGTACGTGGCACCCCTGGGTGCAGAACTTTGACCTCTTTCTGCACCGCACAGCGCTCCTTGCTCCTGGGTTTGCATACAATTCATGCAACACACACAGATTTGTATTCAATAGCAGTAATAACCATTCATTGTTTCTATGAACGAATCCGCCAGCCAGAGGGGCGTGGGCAGTGCTCAGGGCGGCTCTGATTTCTGCCTGCGAGTTCCTCACCCCCGGCCCCCAGAAAGCTGCCTGTTCTCCCTCGGGACTCCTTGTTTACAAACGCGCAGCTTCCCTCTGCAGCGAGAGCCAAACGATGAGCCTCATGGTCAAGAGCCACACTCAATCTCCTTTTTAATGAGCTGCCTCTCAGTTTGGCTCAGGTAAGAACTAGGTAGGGGCCAGCCTCCAATAAATGCCCTCTCTGAAAAGATAGGAAGCAAGCAATTGTCTTAGATCCAAAAGCATGTGTCTCCTAACACGAGCTTCTCACTTCCTAGGTCAATGTCACCTGCTGTCCGTTATCCGTACTTCAAAGGACTGGGTCACGGCTGCTGGCGCTGGGAATGTGAGTGAATTTCGGCCCAGACAGCACAACCATTAGAGTGATGTGTGGCTTCCTTTATCAAGGGGACCTTCGTGACTGTGGACGGAGCCGACTCACAGCCACGCTGTCACCGCCGCCACGATACCAACGCTGAGCCCTCATGTTCTACCAGAGACCCCTTAATAAAATTAATAAACGACTTAATACATAAGTAATAAAAGTTAATAAAATAATGTTGGGAGCGTCTGGGTGGCTCAGGGGGTTGAGCGTCGACTCTTGATTTCAGCTCAGGTCATGATTCCAGGGTCGTGGGATTGAGCTCCGCTGTTGGGCTCCATGCTGAGCACAAAGCCAGCTTGGGATTCTCTCTCTCCCTCTGCCCCCCTCCACTGCTCATGCACACGCCCTCCCTCCCTCTTTCTCCCTCTCTCTCTCTATATATATAACAAACCAAGAAAAAAAACACCACAAAACAAAAGCAAACAAACAAAATGCTGTGCAAGGGCGTTCCCCAGGAACCCTCGGTCTGTGAAGCAAACCTGCGTGCCAGCAGGTCACACAGAAGATGCTAGAACCCTTGGGGATACGGACACCTTGCGGGGGTGGCGGGGGTCTAAGACTGATTTCCGTGTGCCCAACTACCAAGGATTCTTCCTAATACTGAGCTTCTTGGAAAGGAGTCTTCGGAACAGGACGCCTTCTCCTCCTCGAGATGACAAAGATGTCCCTCTCGGTGAGGCGCTGTCTTGGGCTGTCCAACCCTCTAAGGCAGCAAAGGGGCAGTTCAAGAAGACAGCTCCTGAGGGGGGTTCCCACGGGCCAAGAGTCTTCCTCCGGAGGCTCCTTATCTGCTCCCCGGAACTAGAATAGACACTGAGAGCCCAGTTGTGCTCTCGAACTGGAAAGGTAAGATTTGTCTCCAATCAAGAGTGAGCCTGAGTCGGCCGAGGGGCTCGACTCTGAGGACGGAGGGTCCCAGCCGGCCTTCTCCACACGTTTAATAAGTTCCTCATAGGTTTAAGGTTCTGGATAAAATATATTTAAAGCATACTAATATATAACGTAGAGGGTATATTCATACAGGACACGCAATAGATAATACACCAGAAAATAGGTTTTTATCATTCTTTGAACTCACGCAGTGCTTACACGTACACTTACGAAGGTGTGTGTGGGCTTTGAAAGGGTTTTAGCAGGGTGAGAGCACAACCCTTTGACGTGCCAGCGTCTCGGTGAGACGCCTGCCCTGGTTGGGTGGCTCCTTAAATCCGGTTGGTGGTAGGTGTCGGAGGCGTTTGAAGTCCGAGGGCCCAGGGCTCAGGTCCTCAGCTGCAGGTGATTTTGCCCCTTGGGGGCATCGGCAAGGTCTGGAGACTCGCTGGGCGGTCACAATGGAGGTGGTGCCCTGCCTGGGGGGGGAGGAGCCAGCAGTGCAGGTGGACAAGCGCCAGCGCCCCGACAGCCGCCACCCCCACACTGCACGGGCCGGTCGTGACACCCAAAGTGTCAACAGCGCGGACACTGAGCCCTGGATCTGAGAGTCGGTTCCATTCGATACTAAGCTATTTAAGGTGTCATTTTAGGGGCACCCGGGTGGCTCAGTCGGTTCAGCATCTGACTTCGGCTCAGGTCATGATCTCATGGTTCGTGGGTTCGAGCCCCGCGTCCGGCTCTGTGCTGACAGCTCAGAGCCCGGAGCTGCTTCGGATTCTGCGTCTCCCTCTCTCTCTGCTCCTCCCCCACTCATGCTCTGTCCCTCTCTCTCTCTCAAAAATAAATAAACATTGGGGCGCCTGGGTGGCTCGGTCGGTTGAGCGTCCGACTTTCGCTCAGGTCATGATCTCGCGGTTCGTGGGTTCGAGCCCCGCGTCCGGCTCTGTGCTGACAGCTCAGAGCCCGGAGCTGCTTCGGATTCTGCGTCTCCCTCTCTCTCTGCTCCTCCCCCACTCATGCTCTGTCCCTCTCTCTCTCTCAAAAATAAATAAACATTGGGGCGCCTGGGTGGCTCGGTCGGTTGAGCGTCCGACTTTCGCTCAGGTCATGATCTCGCGGTTCGTGGGTTCGAGCCCCGCGTCGGGCTCTGTGCTGACTGCCAGCTCGGAGCCTGGAGCCTGTTTCAGAGCCTGTGTCTCCCTCTCTCTCTGACCCTCCCCTGCTCACGCTGTCTCTCTCTTTCTCTCTCTCTCTCCTAGAAATAAAAATATTTAAAAATAAATAAATAAATAAACATTAAAAAATTTAAATAGCGTCATTTTAAAGTTAAATAAAAAGCTATTTTATGAAATAGAATTAGAATTTAAAACACATTTCAAGACGAGTCAGTTCACTTACTAATGACCTCGATGAAGACAAAAGGAGTTTTAAAGGTTATTAACTCTCCACCCTCACACACCCGATATGCCAACATCCCGGGGCAGCAAATGGGCAGAGCGGCCGCCCCTTGCCGCACACGCACGTTACGCTGTCTCCCTGCAAAGCACAGGGGGCTGGGCATTTTTATTTGAAAGAACAACTTCACAGATGAGACGCTTATTCAGACTTCAGTATTTAGAAGCCATTTCCCCCCAAAGTGAATGACGTTCAGGCTGTTGTCACTGGTAATGCTGGAGTTTTCAAGTGACAATTTTGGAAAGCTGGCATCCGCATGGGCTCGGAAAGCTTCCTAATGTTTACAGAGCTTCCTGAGGTCAGTGTGACGTTCATGAGGACAATGCTTTTACTGTACCGTGAAATGCGCCCCCAGCTACCGTATGGGGAAGTGTGCACGTCACCCAGAGCTCCCTCACTTTCCAAATTCCCGGTGCGTGATGCTCAAGGCAAGCAGGCTGTGAGGACCTCCCATCACAAAGCACCCCAAACTTGCGGTGAACCCCATGACCGTAGCCTGACTGCGCCTCCCTGGTTAACACCGAGGTAGAGCACTGGGCTGAGGTCCTTTCTAGAGGCTCCAGGGGAGAATCTGTTCCCTTGTCTTTCCGCGATCCTTGGCTCTGAATTCCGCTCCCGCCTTCAAAGCTAGCCACAGGGGCTGAGTCCTTCCGCTGCTGTCTCCCCCGGACCCTCTTCCACCGTGATACCTCCCTCTCAACGTCCCCAACAACCACACCAGCAAACGTCTCTTTTGCAAAGTCAGGTAACATACGTCCAGGTTCAGGGAAAGGGGACAGGGATGCCTTCCAGGGCCGTTATTCTGCCCGCCGCACGGGACAAATGACACGTTCCGAATTCCAGACAGAGCGATGCATTCTAAGGAAACTGAGCACAAGTTCACTGACAGAGTTTCAGAGTCTACATTGCAGCTAATTTTTTCTTAATTTTATTATTAATTTTAAAATTTGTAAGTGTTTATTCATTTTTTGAGAGAGAAAGACAGAGAGAGAGCACAAGCGGGGGAGGGATACAGAGAGAGAGGGAGACACAGAACCCAAAATAGGCTCCAGGCTCTGAGCTGTCAGCACAGAGCCCGACACGGGGCTCGAGCCCACGAACCGTGAGATCATGACCTGAGCCAAAGTCAAATTTTCAATGGACTGAGCCACCCAGGTGCCCCTTCTCAATTTTAAATTCCAGAGTTTTGTCTAGTATCTAAAAGACTATTAACATAATCCCACCTTTTCCAACTGTGCATTTGTGGGGCTATATATATATATATATATATTTTTTTTTTTTTTTTTTTTTT